TGTTTTGTCAATTTGAAATTACTACCTTTCTGGGGTGTGGCGACTTGAACCGTTAGATATATGTGGCAGGTTTTATGTTGCGTGTGACTGAATAAATAAATAAGAAACGTGATAATAACGAGAAGGAAATAAAAAGTCTAGTTTACGAAAATGATATAAACTAACTAGGACACTAATAGAACATGATACTTGATCTCTAAGTAGACAACTGAGGTTCTATAATATAATATTACCTATAAAAATAGCTTAATGTTAAGATATGTGTTATGAGAATAAGATCTCAAACGTTCACTTCACTTCGCACAACACTGAGATTTTCGACTAGTAGTTCTTGATGAGAATTAGGTGTTTGGTAGAAATTACCTGTTTCTTTAGGCTTATGTGCATAATCACAGAGTATCGATTCACGAGTATTAGGGTGAAGTGAAAAAACGAAAATCTAAACTCGGGAAAATATTTTTGAGCGAGTTAGGTTATTTATTTTCATGTTTATTTACTACACGATTGGCATTTTGTAACTATTATTGAAAGCCGTTTTAGTGGAATTTGTGTCATTTCCCTTAATACTCGTTGACCACATTGCCATTTGGAGACGTAACAAAAAAATAAATGAAAAATCACTCGGTAGAAAGTTCAGGCTCTGAGTTCGAGTCCTGCGTGCAAGATCGTGGATATGCACTACTGAGGAGTCCCACACTAGGAGAAAACGGTTGTCCAGTGCTTCCAGGTTTTTAATCGTGGTCTAACATTTATCGGTTCGTGATCTCAATTAACCTCCACAACGCTATACTGATTTTTATAACATGACTGTTTGCTGAAAAATAAAGCAACGGTCTCGCTGTTAAAAAATGCGTAGTTTTTAGAAAGAATATGATTAATTCCCAGTCACATTTAATTTTCAGCCATTATATCTAATCAAAATCAAAGTTTGATTGAATTTATCGAGAACAGAGAATCAAATCGAGATACTAGCCCCGAGATTCAAAAGTATACATACATGAGAAATATTTATGCTCAAAGGAAAACAACAATTCAAAAATCACCAGACATTTTGTTATATTTTTTACTGTTTCAAAAGGGAACGATTTACCTTAATATACAAATAAATTTAACAAACAATGGAATATGAGCATTACTTTCTAATAATAAAATTTTGGCATTTAGACATGTAGATAGTCTGACAGGTGTCAGATGAGTTAAATATTCCCCTATTCAATTATTATTATTGGTTGTTCATTGTTGTTGGATTGTGTCAGGTTTCGGTGTGGAAATATATTTACGTTCTAGTCAGGCTAATCACGTGCTCTTGATCTGAGTTGTGCTGAAGTCCTGTAGAATAAATACTGGAAGGGAATCTAGTGTAGATATTCGTCTAAGGTCAATTAACGTCCCATTCGTGCAAACGTGGAAAACCAACCGTTAAAGCAGAAATATTAAAGCATTTATGAGTATTAGTAGGAGATACCAGGATGTTTATTGACATTCTGTTAGTTTTATGTTCTGTCTAGATCGTAGACGAGTGTTGATGAGAAGTCCCAAACAAGACAAAACAGCATTCCATTGCTACCTAGTTTGCAACTGATATCCAGTTTAAGTAGGTTCTTGATATGAGTAAACAATTGAAGTTCAACTAGCAAATACATTCAAAAAGATAAAAGTAATTATGAATATGAGTCGCCTTAAGAAACCTACACTGTTGGACCAAAAAGAAATACCAGATGTAAACAAGGATACCTTCCAGAAATTTAGTAATATCGTATATTACACTCACTTATTTGTATATACTACGTACTGGTAGTAGTAATAAAAGTATATAAGTTCCGGAGGAATAATAAATATCACTGTAATCGAGATAATTTAGTATAACAAGATAGAATCAGGCCTCAAACGTTCAACTACCAAGTTTGCAAAACTTAATTTAGTATAACCACCGACTCCAGTCACAACAGCTAGTTTGTTAGATAACAGAAGTTTGTCTATAGTGTGAAATATTTATGATTATAAGGTATGCAGTGGAGTATGAAAAGTTGCTTAATGTAGAATCAAAGTAACCGATATTCAAAATAAATTATTCGGAAAAGATGTTTACGGTGTTTTGAAGCCAAGGTTCAAATTCTCAGATGCTGGTATTATATGAGTGACTCAATATATTGGATACTGAATTGCAGGAATGTAATTTCGACAACACCTGAATTTAGGATATTCGTGCATTTTAACGCAATCGTTAAGAAAGGTAATCTTCGCATTCACTTCCGCAAGTTTGACAGAAAAACGCAGAAACTCATTAAGTTCCTTTACTGTCAAAGGGTCCTTGGAATTTTTTAATAAACGGAATACACCCATTATGACATTAAATAAGAAAGAAAAATTAGTTCAGCGAAGAGTTCTCTTTTCGGCGAGTTCATTTTCAAAGCTGTACAATCGCAAATATATATATACTTATTTTTACAGGGTGATAATAATACTGATAATAAACTTATGTTATACATGGTGACAGTGAGGTTAAATAAACAAAGGTATTATTAAAAAATTTTTTTTAAAAACAAGGAAAGTTTGATAATTAATGGCTTCGATATTCATCGGGTAAGGGTAGCTCAGCATGATAAAATAACATAAAATGTTGAAACAGAGATGAAATGTAATCGGAATGATCGTGGAAATAAAAACAAACCGGTTGGGGTACAAGATTTGAAGGGAAGATGGAAGGTGGAGCAGGTGGCTGTGAAAGAACAAGAGTATGAAGAAAGAGAAAAAATTTTTTTAATACATTAAGACCATGGTAAAAGAAGAGATTGTACCAGTTTATTTTGTACACATAATTCTGGTTTTTCAAAATGTATGGCTATTGCCTCGGCAATGCAAAGAAGATGCAGTCTAATTGTCGTAGGAAGGCTTCTACTTACCTTGTAGATGACTTTGAACGCAGAGTCTGTCTTGATTGAGTGACCTGTGTTCACAAGGTGTTCGATTATAGAACTTCTTATTGAGCCGCTGCCTCCTCTTCTTAGCCACGCCGGACAATGTTCTTGAATTCCTTTGGATAAAGTACGGGTTGAACGACCTATATACCTAGCTCCACAAGAGCAGGTTAATTGGTGAATGCACATTGAGTTGGTCAGATGCGATAATTTATCTTTCAGATTACTGGTGAATAGTGATCGGCTGGAGAATAATATTCGCAATGTTGCTGCGAAGAATGTTTTTTTAAAAGAATCAGAAATTCTCCTCTTTAAGATATATGCGGCTCTATCGCCATTGAAGTCGATGTTCATGTATTAAATTTTCTTTTCTACTGCAATTGTTTGTGGTTTTGGCATTTTTGGTTTCATGTTCGTATCAATGAATATAGAAGGATATCCGTTTTTGATAAGTATCTCTTAAAAAACTCAATTCTTCCTCTACGACCTCGGGGCTACAGATTCTTCGTATTCTCGTGGCGAGAGTTATTATTAAATTTCTTTTTCGGCTGATGGGAACCCAACTGTGGAAATTTGATAGTTGGTCATTCCACATGGGTTTCCTGTAGAAAGATCTTTTTAAAGTACCATCTTGTTTCCTTGTTATATCTACACCAAGGAAGTGAATATTTTGTTTGCTTTCAACTTCAAGTGTGAATTTTATTGATGGGTTACAATTATTAAATGTATTTAGGAGATCACTTAAGTTACATTTGTTATCACAAATGATAAAGATATCATCCACATACCTTTTATATAAGTGGAGGTTTTCTATAATTCTTTTAAGTTGGTTGTTTTCTAAACTGGCCATGAAGCAATCTGCCAGCAATGGACCAAGTGGGGATCCCATTGCTATACCATCATTCTGTCTATGAATTACGTCGTTGAATGTGAACTGTACATTGCAAGTACAACGTAGTAATAATTCCTTCAAATAAACCTCAGGTATCCCAATGTTTATCTCAGTATTGTTTATGTACTTACAGATAAAATTAATGGTTTCTGTGAGTTGAACATTAGTGAATAATGATTCCACATCAAGAGATAGCATAATCTTGCTACTTACATTCAATTCTTTTATGTGCTCGATAAATTCAAAAGTATCACGTACAAAATGTTTACAAATGAGTTTTCTAACGGGTTCTAAGAGATTCGCCAACCACTTTGCTATAGGGAGGTAAGGGGATCCACACATATCGAGAATCGGTCTAAGAGGTAGGCCAGGTTTGTGTATTTTTCGCAAACCGTATAATCGCGGTATTATCGATGCTGTCAGTTTTATGTGCTCATGCTGAGCTACCCTTACCCGATGAATATCGAAGCCATTAATTATCAAACTTTCCTTGTTTTTAAAAAAAATTTTTTAATAATACCTTTGTTTATTTAACCTCACTGTCACCATGTATAACATAAGTTTATTATCAGTATTATTATCACCCTGTAAAAATAAGTATATATATATTTGCGATTGTACAGCTTTGAAAATGAATTCGCCGAAAAGAGAACTCTTCGCTGAACTAATTTTTCTTTCTTATTTAATGTCATAATGGGTGTATTCCGTTTATTAAAAAATTCCAAGGACCCTTCAACAGTAAAGGAACTTAATGAGTTTCTGCGTTTTTCTGTCAAACTTGCGGAAGTGAATGCGAAGATTACCTTTCTTAACGATTGCGTTAAAATGCACAAATATCCTAAATACTACTGGAAAATTCTTCGAAGAAACACCTGAATTCACGTAGATGTGAGTTGTTGATTGAATTTTTATTTTCTTATTTTCTTCCGACTTGACGTTTTAAACACTAAATTACACTATAATCCGTTTTAAATACATCAGATATAATAAATGATAAGTTGAAAATCAAATACGTAAAAATCTTGGGAATGAACTTATAAAACCAGAAATTTTGATTGACATCAACCTATATATGTCATCCGAAAATAGATGCCTCAACAGATTTTGCTTTTCTGTGACTTTTATGAGCAGAAAAATAAACAGGAGGTAAATATCTATACAAGATTTAGATAGAAATTATTATGACTTACCAAATACAATGCTAGGGCTTGGAATAGGCACTGAATAGTAAGAATCATTAAGTGCCACAGGCACTGTTTCGAGCCACTAAAAATCATCAGAAATATTATAATTAAAATGAGAGGTTTCAATATTGCTATTTGTAATTGTTATACTCCGCACATAAACAAGATAAAACCAAAAGCTTGTAGAATGCCTTTGACCATTTCTGAATTTCAGGATAACTTTTCAATCGATTTAGTGATTATAATAAGATGATTAAAATGATTAAAATGTTTTTGTTATAACTTTTCAATCGTACACTGAGTGAATAAACATATTGCTTTAAGTGACACAGATAATCAATATGTGGGTTGTAAACACTTGAAATTTGGTATAAATTTTCCCAAACAAGTATATTTTGAGCCGATATTAGTTCTGAATATTAGTCTTCATTTAACAGCTTTACGGATATTAACTGCTCTTAGAATTGAAATCAAAAAGAGAGATCAATCTATTATGTCTAACACGCTACAGTTACCAATGTAATCAACATACATATGCGATAGATTAACGAGAAATCATAGTTTTATTTGGTTCTGATTAGAAATTTATTCTTCTTTTGCACAATTAGCAGCGAATTCTCACTGATTAGTTAATACCAACGAAGAACTAGACACAAGTGTACATCGGGATCAAATTACTACACCTCATGTCAGCTCATGAACTGATTTCATGTCTTGTCTAGCTTACTAGTTTTCTGGAAACTACATTAAGTGGTGATCGGACGAGAACCGGTGCTTTCAACATGGTATGGTCGCCGGCACAAATAATAGCAACAAAGACATTAAAGATCAGTTCTACGAGCGGCTGCAGTCAGTCATTGAGGAATGCCCAAGAAAGGACTTAACTATTCTGATGGGAGATCTAAATGCCAAAGTCGGAATAGACAACACTGGATATGAAGATATTATGGGACGACATGGACTGGGAGGAAGAAACGAAAATGGAGAAAGATTTGCAAATCTATGTGCATTCAACAAATTGGTCATAGGAGGCACAATATTTCCACACAAGCGTATACACAAGGCTACATGGATCTCACCGGACCACACTACAGAGAACCAAATAGATCATATTTGCATCAACAAAAAATTCCGAAGGACAATGGAAGATGTGAGAACCAGGAGAGGCGCTGACGTAGCTTCAGATCACCACCTAGTTGTGGCCAATTTAAAACTGAAGCTAAAAAAGAACTGGACAAGTGGACAAACAGCACTACAAAGGTTCAATACAGCCTTCCTTCGAGATACTGACAGACTCAATGCATTCAAGATAGCTCTCAACAACAGGTTCCAAGCCTTACAAGATCTACTGAAAGAAGAAGAAACTAGTATGGAGGACAACTGGAAAGGCATCAAGGAAGCATTAACTTCAACGTGTCAAGAGGTTCTGGGTCTAAAGAAATACCATCATAAGGAATGGATCTCTACAGAAACACTGAACAAGATCAAAGAAAGGAATAACAAGAAGGCAGCAATAAACAACAGCCGAACACGAGCAGAGAAAGTCCAAGCACAAGCTGAATACATGCTTTACCTTCTATTCAAAATGATTTGGGAGGAGGAACAAGTTCCGATGGACTGGAAAGAAGGGCACCTCGTCAAGATTCCAAAGAAAGGAGATCTGAGCAAATGTGAAAAATACAGAGGCATTACACTGCTGTCAATACCAGGGAAAGTCTTCAACAGAGTGTTGCTGAACCGGATGAAGGATGCAGTAGACGTCCAACTTCGACATCAACAAGCTGGATTCCGTAAGGATCGGTCGTGCACAGACCAAATTGCAACACTACGAACCATCGGCGAACAATCAGTTGAGTGGAACTCATCACTATACATCAACTTCATTGATTATGAAAAAGCATTCGACAGTGTAGATAGGAGGACATTATGGAAACTTCTTCGACAACACGGAGTTCCTGAGAAGATTGTCAGCATTATCCGGAACTCATACGACGGACTACAGTGCAAAGTCTTGCATGGAGGACAGCTGACAGATGCATTCCAAGTAAGGACCGGACTCAGATAAGGCTGTTTACTCTCTCCCTTCCTCTTTCTTCTAGTGGTCGACTGGATTATGAAGACCTCGACATCTGAAGGAAAACACGGAATACAATGGACAGCTCAGAATCAATTAGACGATTTGGACTTCGCAGATGACCTAGCCCTCCTATCACGTACACACGAACAGATGCAGATGAAGACAGCCAATGTAGCAGCAGTCTCTGCATCAGTAGGCCTCAGCATACACAGGGAAAACCAAAGTCCTCAAATTCAAGGCGGAAAACAACAATCCAATCACTCTTGATGGCGAAAGTCTGGAAAATGTAGAGTCTTTCACATACCTAGGAAGCATCATCGACGAACAAGGAGGTTCAGATGCAGACATAAAGGCAAGGATTGGCAAAGCAAGGACAGCATTCCTACAGTTAATGAACATATGGAACTCAAAACAACTTTCAACCAATGTCAAAGTGAGAATCTTCAATGCCAACGTCAAGGCAGTTCTACTGTATGGAGCTGAAACTTGGAGAACTACAACAACCACAATCAAGAAAGTACAAGTATTTATAAATAGCTGTCTACGCAAGATACTCAACATCCATTGGCCGGATACCATCAGCAATAGCCTTCTGTGGGAGAGAACAAACCAACTTCCAGCTGAAGAAGAAATTATGAAAAGACGATGGAAATGGATAGGACATACATTACGTAAATCGTCAAACTGCATCACGAGGCAAGCCCTAACTTAGAATCCTGAAGGGAAGCGAGAAAGAGGAAGGCCAAAGAACACATTGCGTCGGATAATAGAAGCAGATATGAAAACGATGAATTACAACTGGACAGAGCTAGAAAGGATTGCCCAGGACAGGGTTGGATGGAGAATACTGGTGAGCGGCCTATGCTCCTTCACGAGGAGTAACAGGCGTAAGTAAGTACATTAAATGGTGGTTAAGTAACTACAAATATATCCCATCTCAAGTCGATAAGGGTTTACAACCTGATCATTGCACTTTCACAAATAATCTAGTATTATATACACAAACTCAGCATTATTCACTCAGTGGCTTCGTTATGTACGAGCACTGCTTCAACGATACCTAAATTCAAATACTTGCAACTTAAGTGTTTTCTATTTTTATATATTAAGTTTCGGACCCGTAAAGCAATACAGAGAATATTAACAAGAGACATATTCACCCATTGGTTGAAAGGTGGTTACTTTCCCCATGGTAGGTGGTGAGATTTAGCAAAATTGGTGAAGGCTCTTTTATGACGAGATTTCATCAGATACAAGGCCACTAAAATCGAAGAGGTTTCTAAGATAATGAAAGCGGTTAATGCACTCCAATACTCAACTCCGTGTAGTCAAACTAAGCAAACTGAACCCTATTCAACAACATATGTATGTATTACTAAGCAATGACGCACCTTGTCATTATACATCATGTTAAATTATTGAAAAGTATGAATCAAGGACTAAAATAAAAATTTACCTGGGCAGGTAAAAAAGTATCCACTAATCCAACAAACGCTGCACCGATGAACAATCCACACATTACAGGGAAGACGCAATATGCACCTAGACCTAAGTCAATTTTAGCCATCTCCAATGCTGGTTCTAACAGGGACCAGAATGATGCAGCTAACATAATCTATTGATGCAAAATTGAAACAATATATGCAACCATAAGGTAGTCATGCTTAATTGTTTTGACCAGGATAATATTCTACAATACATCTGTGAAAATTTGATGAAAATAATTCAAAAACAATTCCAATAATTCTAATAAACACGGCTTGTAAAAGTGAATAATTATGTACAGATAAAAAAGCTAATGCATGCAGCTGGAAAGTCGGAACGAATAAGCGTGAGAGCAGTCTAACCAACCTTTAGCACCATTCCTAGGATTCCATAATAAAATTAATTGGGTATTTATCACTGTGTGTAAAATCCATAACGATGAAATCAAAAGGTAAAGAAACTGAACAAAAAACTTCAACTGATTTGTTTCCAGATACCATCAAGATATTGGAGTTGTGATTCTTCGGAACAGAGGGGTAGTGATTGTTAAAATTTGACAATCGTATGAAATAACGTATATACAGCCAAGGAGAGAAGAAATTGGAAATGATTTGATTTACCAAGCGATTATTTGTTCCAGCAACGGGATACACTGTAATTCTGATCAAATTCATGAGTGCCAACTAGATTTAATTTTTAAAAACTCCTTTCTTATTGTACGGACATTAATATAGTTGAACAGTTTAAGGTGGTACAATAATATGACTTGTTCCATATTGTTAAAATTTAACAGATTAGGGATGATAACGTGAAAACTAGTAAGACTTACTCCAGAGGAAAAACCCAAACTGCCGTCAAGAATCTGATTCTAAACACGACAAATTAAAGGATAGAGACGGCAAACAGCAAAATCAATTTTAATAAATTTAAAAAAAACTATACAGTTTTATATAACAGTACTTGGATATATATATATATATATATATATATATATATATATATATGCAAAGACCTATGTTGTAACAATTTACACCACTACAGAGAGGAACTTAACAAGATGAAAATTGAAGTTTCAACGGTAGTAGTCGAGAATTAAAATACAAGGTATATGGCTTCGAAAGAAGAATTAAGTAAAAACTTAAAGATGAATGTCCACTTAACTGCAAATAATTCCGATCCGTTACCTAAAGCTTCCAACATATATAACCATCATCTCACGGATCTAAAACAGAAGGATTGCATCTCCCGATACATGTAGATCTATCATTCAATAGGCAGATTGAATGATAGTACATCTTAGTTTGGTCATATCATTAGCGATTTCACAATGAAATCTTATGATAGCTAGTATAAGTCATAGTGGGTTGTAGTCGCAAATATTTTTTATTAAGTAAGGACAAGAACAGCATACAGCACAATAATCTTCGGAACAGGAGTAGGAGAAATTCTAGTTCGATTACACATGTACTGAAGCTTCATAATGTAGCGCGAACACAGGACAAAACTAAACCATCTACATATAATCAGACATATGGTACCGAAGTGAGTGGATGAATTATGGGTATCCAAAAGATTGCTTATCCAAACAAATTATATTGTAATTCCTAAAAAGTCTAATAAAACACTAAAAAGTCAGATAGTGATCACAAGTCTTAGTTACAAAATCTAGGAATTTGTCGTAAAAACGTTGGGGTAAAAAGAAATTGATCCACAGTCACTAGGTAAACAAAATTTCAAAACTAATTGGAAACAGATGTCTTTAAAAAAATAGTACTGAAGATGTTGAAACTAATCAAGTTTCCTAAAAAGAGAAATTGTGCGCCTTCACAAATGAAAGTCCCTAGATCTTTGGATTCTTTCTGTACTATATCCTTACATAAAATATTTAATTTATATATTACACCATTGAGTTAACTACTCCTATGGATCCGGTTTTCGTTTTGCTGTGCTAATGAGGTGTGGCAACTTGAACCGATGCATGTATGTGCCTGGTCCTACATTGTAACTGACTGACTTTAGATTTTTCCACACTTGTTTTAATCAGAATACACAACCGCATAAAATAAAAACATACCTTTAGACTCGTTGAGGAATTCGAAATGATGAAACAAAACATAGAGCCAATCGCAGTTACAAACCATGTTAACCCAGTACCCAGCAAAGTTTGTATAAACGGTGAAGCATCTTCAATCATGATTACGAAAAAACAATTGAAAATTTGAGTAAAACCCACTAAGAATGGTACGTATATATGTCACACAACAATCTAAAACCAGAATACATAAACAGATAAACAAACAAGATTAAACATGTCATATTTGAAAAAAACTACCACCTAATGGTTTGCTTTTTTATTTAAGAGCTCCTTTCAGCTTTAGTAAGTAATTTTGACAGGAGGGAATTTATCCAATGAATTACCGAAAATAGCATACGTGAACCGTGAATGCCAGTTTTAAGACCAATCTAGTTTCTCTTTGAACAATTATTATGATAGTCTTATACCTTCCAGATAAAAAGTGATTAGTTCATTCTATTTATAAACTTGTGGGAATGGCGAACTTATGAACAACAAGATTACAGAACTTCTAATGGTTAATCGTTTTTTTTAATCAACATACTCCAACGAATAATAATTACTGGTTACTCACAGACTGCACTGCGCGTTAGCTACCAAGGCCAATGATAGTTTTAAAGATGAAAAATCTAATTACAAATGAGTTTCACATGGAATCAAAGATACATAACATTGGGAATTGTTCTTTAATGACTGGTGAAGCATATATATTCGTTTATCTAGAGGATCCAACACAATGATCAGGAATGTTGAAACCGAACTTTAGGTTGCGTTAAGCAGCATATTTAAAGTCGTTACTTGAAATCACTAGTTAACGCAATTAGATAGTCATAATATGAGGCAATTGAAAATCAGGCTATATCTTGGTATTATAGAAATAGGAAACGTGGATTAATAGGTATCAACTTGATAGCCTAAAAGTTAGGCAACCGGCGTGAAACCTGATGGTCTTCCATTTGATCCTTAGTGAGATCGTGTATGTGGACTTTTCAAGAGTCCAATTTCGAAATCAATGGCATCCCATATACTTTCAATATGTAACGAAATGTTCATACTTATTCAACAACCAAATATTCATTCCATATCAAAATCTCATGCATCACGCAAGCACATTTATCTTAAGTAATAAATACACAGTGAAACACACAATATTGAAAAACGTTTCAAGTGTTTTCAAAAAATTTCCTTGTTGAAAGACAAGAACACTAAGAAAAATGGGGTACTTATTTTATTTGAAAAAGGTAGACAAAATATCAAATTTTCAAATAATCTGCAATATAAAAATGGAAACCAATACAAAATATTCTTTTAGCAAAAATAGTGTTATAAAAATGCATTACATAACGGTTCATATGAAAAAGATGAAGAATCTGTCTACTGTTGTAATCCTTGGATAAGCCAATAAGCGATTTGTTCTAAGTATTCAAAACCGAAATGTACGCCGATATTACGATAAACATCTAAACGACGATAAACTGCATGACCAGTTGGAACAGTTAGTGTCAGCTTCGTAGAACAATCAGCACACTGAGCAACTGACCCACCATTTGCAATCAGCAACTCCTGTATCCCACCACCTACAGTACATTTAGGACACTGGAGATCCTATCAAAGAAAATAAGTGCAGTAAAATCAATTTAATGCACACATGTGCGTTTAACCAATCATTTATGTTCAAATAATACACGACCAAATTTGAAATTGTTTTCGTCAGAAGCTGGCATCAACAGAAAAACCATAACGGATTACAAAATGAAGTTGTATAGAAATACCAAGTACCAGTAGATTACTTGATACCTAAACTATGTACATATGGTTAGTCAATATAATTATCAAAACATATTAAAAAAGGAGAAGATATGTTAATGAAAGAGTACACTTTTTACCAACATTAAAGGAACTATAAATGACTTCGATTTTTCACATTAGGCCTCCAGCAAAACGTGAAGGAATAATTTATGGTAAAATATCAAGAAAACAAATTATTCATTGAGTTATTGGCAAAACGTTTAGATGTTCTGATAGATATGATACGGCGACGAAAATGAAAGCTAGTCAGAAAGTCACAATTAGTCAAAGCTAGATGAGAAGTGAAGTCACATATATATTAACATGACCATGAATGAAAATCATTTTCCCTTTATTTCAAAACTAAAAGTGATGTAATATTTATCTAATGATCGAGACGATAATTTATGCATAAAGCACGACAGAATGATAAAAAATCCAAATAACTAGTGGTTTACAGTAAAGAAGAATTACTAGTGATGAAAAATATAGTGATATATACTATTCCAGTAATCTGCTCCATGAAAATGCACGTCATGAATGATCTTCAAAATAAAACACATTGCAGCAAACTTATGCAAATATAGACTGAAGAGTGAAAAGAATAGGTACCTTCGGTGGAACATAGAGCGAGTAAAACAGAAAGTGTAATAAAACCTACTGTATGTTGAAATAGCAGTTTAACAGAAACCTCTTAGCTATCGGACTAGGAGGTCTCTTGTGTATTTGTATATATGACAGATTTATTTGTACGATACAATTTGAATTTGGAAATTAAGCAATCCGGTGCACCAAGGTTATAAAGTCATCTTTTCAGAAGATTGCGACTTTTAGGTATAACTAACACTACAATAACGAAACACTCAGAAAACCACAGAAACCGAGTTAACTTACTATACCTGGAATATGAGATACAATTAATAGAATAGAACTGCAATAGCAGAATTTGAATAGGAGACATGAATTGGATTTAACAAACCTGTAAACAATGTTGAAGTGAGAATTGTTCAAGCTGTTGAACAAGCGCTTCTTCTAGCCTATCACGTGGATAAACTGTACGACAATGTGGGCATATCCAAGCCCAATAACCTGATTGTCTAGTTTCAACGTGCATTGAATCCATAGATGCCATTATCCAGACAACATGTATATCACGACAAACATCTATGTCCCGTGTAAAATTACACGTTGGGCAGGCAACCTCTGGGAGATACACTAGTAGAGAACGAATAGCAGTTGTTTCAAAAGTATATTTATTTGGATCTTGGTTCAACGGACAATCCCTAACCATATGAGGGGCAATCCAAATGGCCTCAGGTGAAAATTCTCCAACATTTATTAAGCGGAGTAAATCATGTCTAATGCTTTCAATGTGTAACTTCGCGAATGGCTCTAAACTCAAAACCTTTTAAGGATTAAGGAAAAAAAGTATGAAAACAGAAAAATAAATACCAAATAAAAAATTCAACTTCGCAACTTAGTTTCTTAAAATGGAAAACAAAAACTAGAACTACGTAGTGATAGCATACTAAGACTAGAATTTTTTTGATGCTTGAGAAAATCCGTTAACGAACGTAAACCAGTGGCGCGTGGCTTCCAGAACGTAGCTTATGAAAGCACCTAATATGAAAAGCGACAAATGAAACTATTTCATTCTCTTTAGACTATTTTGTGTTGAGGATTACTGTTAGAAATGCATCATTCTTGAGTATGGTTTATTGATTACAATAGACCAAATCCGCAGCTGCTTGTAAAGATCGCCCACTTTAACACAGCCGGGAGTTTAAAACTACTATTCATATAGAATTTCCAGCTGAATCGAATCGATAACTTGAATATATAGAAACATTAAACAGATTATATATATGGTCGAATGAATTAAAAATATCAAAGTTAATCCTTTTGTCCAAACAAAGTAGACAGAGTTAACGGATTCTTCGTTACGAAAAAAGGAAAGGATGCATGATAAACAAAAAAAGAGCAGAAGAAGAAAATTCGAATAATCAGCATCCGATGAATTGTTTTACGAGTGAACTGGTTTTTAAGATTTAGTGTATACACTTTTGAAGAGACGAATGATTCAATCCTGATTGTCGATACATCGCGGACAGTATTGATAACAGAGTTTAATAGAATCAATGACGCGTTTTAGAAGAACCATCAGTGATTCTTTACAATAATTAAACTTTTCTTTTTCGGTGACAAAAGAGGTCAAAGTTGTTTGGTATTTGAATAGTTCAATAATAAGACAAAAACGTTTTTTAATACTCCAATTTCAAAAGCTAATTGATGGAAAACAAGTCATGGAAGACACCTAAATTTACCCGAATTCCAAAAGTTATGATGTGGGAAGTTATATATCTGGGACCAGGGCTATTCTTTAAAAGTAACCCAGCAACATCTTGAACTTAATAGTAATAATTATATATATTGAGAACAACATACCTCACACAATGATTTGATGAAATCAAGAAGCGGAGTGAAATTTAAAGTATAAATAGCCTGATGTGCCGGTAAAAGAGGTAGAACTAAGTTCGGACTCGAGTTTTTGTTGTTGTTGGTAGCATCGAACTCTATGCCTGAACCGATTGACTTTTCCGCAAGGTAAGCACTGACAAGATCGTTATTTCGAGGTATGTTTGAACCATTATTTAATTGGCAGCTCCGATTATTACCAATTGACGGGTCAGTTTTTCTCACTAACTCTGGATCAATCCATGCAGCTTTCCGTTGTAGGCGAATAATTAGGTTGTATAACTCTGGGGCCAATTGATCTCTAAATAAACGTTCTTCATATTCCTTAACTCCAGGAGAGACAGTAGCGTCTGACTTGTATGGTGTTGTTTCAGCTTCATGTACACAGTTAGGATCTTTATTCACATCAGCATCAAATTCAAGAGATCCGTGTGGTTCATTCTAAAAAAAGTATAGAACTGTCTATCATGGCTTTTAAAGGGGAACTAATGAAAAATCAAGTGAACGCCTAAGAAAACAATTGTTGATTAAAAAATGGGTGTCCTTCATAAAAATTTAAAAAGTTAACATCTCAAACCCCCTTTATAAGAGGTTGTAAACTGCAATATTATAAAAATCATACAAAAAATGACTTACCAAAGAACAACTAATGGATTCAATCAAACGTCTATGTTCATTTCGAACTGCATTGTAAATAGCCAAAAGGTATCCTGCCAGAAGACTTTGAAATTTACTTCTTAAACCACGTGTCTCAGGTAAATAACGTGCTAAATGCCAATGCATATCAAGCTCGGGATCGGGAAGATTAGGTTGTCCTTCTATATTGTTTTCCTTATCTTCAGTATAAGTATGAGACTGATGTTGAATGGTTAACACTTTACCCCATTCAACATCTTTACCATCGACTAGATTTTCTACAGAGGCCTGGAACGATGAATAAAGAGATGGTAGAAAATCCATTTAACCGATAAATTTGTGATCAAGGAAGGTTACGGATTACGTTGGGCTGATCGGTTGGAAAAACCATAAGAGTACAATGAAATTATTGGAAATTTGATAAACCACGTCAAAAATATCTCAACTTTTGATTTTAACGGAGAAGAGAAAGAATCTTGATAAACATCAAAAGATTATTGAGATGAGTGTAATGCAGAATAAAATTCGATTTCCACTGATCGAGACGGTGAATAGTTCAGGTATGATATCCAACAAGTGTTAAACACTGGTGAAAGCATCCAGAGTATACAGTGAATGTCGCATAGTACTAAACATAATAAAATTAATGATCATCGGGGTCGTTAGTAAATAGCATAAACGATATCCTTACTTTCATTCAATAAGCTCTTTTAATATCTGAAGGGAGAATACGAGAAAACAAAAAGCGACCCGGTTTTCATTTGGTGACCGATTTGTGAAGAAAGTTTACGCCCAGAATGTATTGAAAAGGCGTACTTTACTAATGGCATCGCCACACCAGAAATTCACATTACAAAACGAGTACCAGAAGTATTCATGCAATTACAGATACTTAAGTATGAAAATAGTGCAACCTTCAAAATACCTTTGAACGAAGTCTTCCTGGGCATAATAAATGGCTGCTTCATAATAAAGTGAAGATATTCTCACAATTTTTATGAAAAGAAAAACAAATACTTTTTTAAGGTAACTATATAGATGTATTTGTTGATGATGAAAGTTAAACGATGAGAAATCAACAAAGGACAAAGTTTAACATCAACTAAATCACACACATTTATGCAGACAAAGGGGATAATAAACCATTGAGAAGTACTATAAGACTAAAAATATATATCTCAGACTAAATGTTGAAACACTAATATCACGAATTTTTAACAGACATTAATCAATCTTTAAGCTCAATGATTCAATGTATAACTACATAAATGAGTTTACAGATAATTTAAAAAATAACAACAGATCAATATTGGGAGCAGAAAGGATGATTTAATGTTCACTTTCTTTATCAACAACGACAACAAGAATATTTACGGAATGTAGAAACTAACTTCGTGATATTATATTATATTATTCTATTGTATTCAATACAAACCAGAGAGCAAATTACAATATTTATGTCATGAAGTGATTTTTAATTAACGCGATTCAAAGTAATCGCATTAAAATTAAACTGACTTTTGATTAATTTAGATTTGATCTATAAGCGATTTCACAAAATTAATTTGCTGCTTTAATTAACACTGATACAGTACCCATAAGAAGATCCGTGGAAAATCCACGAGCTCAGACAAAACATTTATTTTTACTCCGACAAAATTTACATATACAGTGACTAACTTTTGGTAAACAGATATTTAAATAAAGATAAGGTAGAATACGAATGAAAGTATCACGACAACTCCATAGGAATTAGCTAGATGAATTGGGAAAAATAATTTTCCATCTTAGCAGTTTTAAAAAATGAATGGGATGATATTAATACGTGCTGAATGGCCCCCGAATGCCCTGGTACGGTCGAGAGTGGGGAGAGTCCGCTCTCCCTCTCGAAATACTCTAACACGGCCGCGCGTACACAGCCTCTGCCAGAGAAGTCCTACTCATTGCCTTCTCGTAGTGGGCGTGTTGTTTACGAAAATGAGAGGACGAAAAGCGAATGTCCGGCGCTTTAACCGGATTCCAAACCAATGGTGCACATGGGCTCCAGGATCCTGAGGGAACAAATGGCGTATGAACCAATCGTTGGTCACCGGCTTCCATGGGACTGCATCTCCTTACGATGCTCCACTGCCTTGTGGATCAGACCTCCAGGTCGAAGGCTCGGGGAGTGGCCCCCTAGGATAACCACCTGCTTCGGTTTGGGCACCCAGGCAGTATCACAGCCCACACACGAATGATGAACTCTTTATGTCTATGGAAATTACTTTTTCGCTTCGAAAAACAATAAATTGATTCAAATTATTATCAATACAATTATTGTCATTATTATTATTTTCCACATTATTCACCCTCTTTTATACTTATACAGCGGCTCGTCTTTGGTGGAAATTCGACTGTATCTAAACGTTCTCGAGTCACTGTCCGGTTGAAAATTGTATGTTACCACCGAATACGAGAACTGAAGCAGTTTTTCTGAAACCACGTGCACCATTCAAACTGGCTGGCTTCAACGTTCGCACACTAGTGCAGGTCAGACAACAGATAGGGTTGGCTATGTCTTTGGAAAGTTTTAATATCAACGTTTGTTGTCTATCTGAGACCCGTATTCAATACTCTGGCGAAGTACCACAAATTCGATCTCCATCTGTCGCTTCGAAAAGCTTGTTTAACATGCGTTTATCCAAGGACCCTGTGGCATCTTCGTCTGGTCTTGCTGGCGTTGGTGTCGCACTAAGCGCTAGAGCTGAGGCAACACTAGTCGATTGGATCCCCATTAACAGTCGGTTATGTGCTGTTAGATTAGAGAGTTCCATCAAAGTGATTCCTTACAACTCATTGAAGCCCGTCGGTGTACTCCGGGTGACCGTGAGTTTGACCATAAACGAAGAATGTTACGTAAGGAAATTGGGCAAAGCTTGCGTAAGGACCAAGAAGCCTGGTGGTCGAAGCGTGCTAATGAGTTGGAAGCAGCAGCTGCATCTGGTAATTACCGGAAGCTCTTCCAACTCATCCAAGCCACTAGCAGTAAGAAGTCTGGTGTGAGCGAAACAATCTGCGAGGATAATGGGATGCCAATCACTAACATCCATCGACGTCTTGGACGATGGGCAGAATTCTTCGAAGGGCAGTTCAACTGGTCTGCTGCTCCGGCGACATCGGCCAGACTGTCCTGCCCTCCATGGCCGGTGACGACTGATCCACCAAACGAGGAGGAAGTCCGCAAGGAACTCCAACTCTTGAAGCGTTACAAATCACCTGGCCCAGATGACTTACCTCCGGCTCTTTTTAAAGATGGTGGTGACTTTCTGACTAAGGGATTGATGACGTTGTCTACAAAGGTTTGCGAACTAGAGAGTGTACCAACGTCATGGAATGAGTCGATAGTTGTCCCTATCTTTAAAAAGGGTTCACGTCGTTCCTGTAACAACTATCAGGGGATATGCCTACTTCCGATTGCGTCCAAGCTATTGGCTTCCGTCATACTTTCTAGGTTGTTCAATACCCGAGAAAGATTGACTCGCGAGGAGCAGGCTGGGTTTCGTTCTGGTCGAGGATGTATTGATCATATCTTCACCCTCCGCCAAATGTTAGAACACCGCCATACTTATCAAAGGCCAACAATCGTGGTGTTTCTTGACATCAGGGCTGCCTTCGATTCGTTGGATAGGACTGTTCTCTGGGATTGTCTGTTGAGTAAGGGTGTGTCTGAGAAGTTTATTAACATCTTGAAGGCCAGAGCGGCTTATGCCAATCTGAGTCATCTTTGGCGCCTTCGTGATGTCAGTCTGGCTGTAAAAGGTCGGATCTACAACGCGTCGGTGATAGCAATTCTGCTCCATGCTTGTGAAACCTGGCCTCTCCGAGTTTAGGATGTTAGACGACTCTCTGTGTTTGATCATCGTTGTCTCCGAAGAATTGCTGACATCCAATGGCAACACCATGTCAGTAATGCAGAGGTTCGGCATTGTGTGTTCGGGGACAGAGATGATAATGTAATCGATGTCAACATCTTGAAACACCGACTTCGGTGGCTTGGACATGTTCTACGAATGTCGTCCCAGATAATTCCACGTCGTGCATTATTTGCGGACGCCGGGACTGGTTGGAAGAAGCGGAGAGGTGGTCAGTTTATGACATGGTGTCGAGGTATGAAAGAAAGCTACAAAGGGCTGGCTTCTGTCGGTCCCACGCGACTCCCTGGTTGGGGTCTGAGAGATGGTGCTACACAGTGGCTAGAGACGTTATCAAATATGGCTCAGAATGGAAGCCAGTGGCGATCCTGCTGTAACCTTCTTTTACTTTCTTCATAAAGTGGTTGTGTCTCCCTTACCTGAAAGATTTCTTCTGATTGTACCTTTCCGTCCCCTCGTTACTACCACACTACCTTACACCAATCTCCTTGTTATTGTTCTCTTTTTCTTTTGCGCCCCTTAGTTTTTTTTTCTATCTCTCTTCGAATTCTCATTGTTTTGTGTGGCGCATATATATTGGCGCTCTCTTGTACCAATATTCATGTGTTCAAATAATAATAATAATAATAATAATGTGTCCAAACAAAAATAGCTGTATGTAAAACGATAGGCAACTAGAACAAAATCTCATGCTAAAAATATAGATAATCAGTCACTCGATGTTAGGGGTGAAATACAGTTTTAGTTATCTCGAGACTTATTCTTTTCGGATTTCATTTAAGCTAACATAACGGACGTACAGAAGGAGTAAGTCATCGACTCGCGAAGTGTTATTTTATTTTTGCAGCAAAATGTCATCTTACTAACCTCGGAAAGATGAACAGGTACAGATATAGTGTATAAAGGGTTTAATAATACTGTTTAATAACGCAGCAAGGTGGCTAAAACTTTCAAACACAAATCCAACCAAGAAATACTGACTGATTTGATCAGTCAGTCAGTTAGCTACAATGTTGAACCAGGCACATACATGCATCGGTCCAAGTTGCCATACCGCATTAGCACAGCAAGATGAACACCGGATTCATAGGAGTAGTTAAGTCAATGGTGGTAATAAATGGCACTGTTAATTTTTTCCAACTTTGTTTTACCACAATATCTATGGTGATGATTCAAAGGATGTGAAACACGTTCTCTATGCAATGTTAGTCAGACATGACTGGAAATCTGACAAAAAACAAATACGCAGCTAGTGACAATCCCAGGAAAACCAATTAAATCGTTAACCGGAAAATAAACAGTACATAACTAACCTTTACACCAGCGTAATTTGCTGAATCCATCCAAATTAACTGACGCCAGCTAGTTACATACTGCAAGTCCAGGTGAGTGAACAGAGTTCCTTGGCGTGTACGCAATAATTGTGTAAAATAATCTACGCGTGCTAAAGCTTCAGGTAATTCAATTCTATGAGTAGATATAATTAAGCGACTAAAATTTGCATAGATTACGTCCACATGAAAGTGACTTATTTCATCGACCAATTTAAGAAATACCTGAGAAAAAAGTGAGTATATATATATATAATTAATTTGAAAGCAAACCGAAAACTAATCTTGATTCAAATCAACTACAGAGTGAACAAAAACTAAATATTTCGTGAACTTGTACTCTTTGGAATCGATGGCTTGATTGAGAAGCATTTACCGTCATCGATCATGCCTAAAGACAATAAGTGAAATTAAACTATTAGATTTATAGTACATAACGCCACTAAAAGCATTCAAATAAGCTACAAGCCTTCCCATCGTTTTAAAACCTAATCTTTCAGTAGTTATGGAGACTAACTTATCACCTAGGTCCTTGAGTTTTAATCTAAACGATGAGCTGTTTCGAATAAATAGGTTCAAGTCGATTAACCTGTGGGTTTATTATATGACACAATGAATACTTTTTCAGCATGTAATAATAGATCTCGATATCATTGCAAGAATTGTATAATCGTTTTTAAAAAATCTTAGGTGGTCGATATTTGTAATCAGCTATAAACCAAAAAGGAAAAAATCCAGAACCGAGTATAAAAATAATAATTATCTACATTGCACATTAAAAAACTAAAGCATTTTCTCGATTCGTTTTCAAGTTGGGTATTTTGTAACTATTACAGAAATCAGTACCTGTCAAGGCATTACACATTAACTGGTTTATATTTAAGTGTACTATATACTTGATCGTCAAATTTAGTGATTCGTTTAAACAAATTCAACGAAAGTACAATTAAATACGTTGAATGATTCACATTCTTAGCCCAAAACAATATAGCGGAGCACCAAAAGGACAACGAGGTATCAGATTGCGAAACCGCGTTTATGTTTACTTACCGACTTCTCTAAATATTTTCATTACAGAGTAATCTCCTGAATTTTATTTAAGGAGGGATGGAATCGACCAGTGAGTTACCAGAAATAGTTATTACCAAAATAGAAAAGCTTACTTTTTTCATTAATTTTTGAACAGTACGTCTTAAAGCAGGATCATAGAATAATGAACGAGGTGATCGAAGCCATTGGTAAAAATAAATTATTTGTTCATCGGCCAACGGATTTTGGTATTGTGTAACATCACGAACCCAAGCAAGAACCATGTTACTAAATACAAGAAATGTTGTAATGATCAGTTAGAAAGTTTGACATGATGATTCCAAAAAAAACCATGGGGTGGATCATTTGTAATAAAAATATTGATGTATTTATAATAACCCGATGAGTAGCCAACTGAATTTCTGACGTTTCAGCACTTAGTGTACGTCGGTTCTCCATCTTAAAAAAATAACTGAATTATATTAACAAGTTCATATATCAAAAAACACACTATCTTAAGCTTCTGTTTTACTGAGAATGCATTAGCTCGATATGGCTTTGTAGAGTTGAAGGTCTCATATGAGGATGGAGGTTCGCCAGTGGTATTTTGGATGGTTCGGCATTGCTTTGGCAAGTTTTGCTGACTGTCTATGCACAGAATTTGTTTGCTGGTTAACCGATTTCATTCATACTGGTGGTTGCTTTTCAGTATTCTCGTAAGCCATTGTCATTGGGACATTATAAGGCATGTCGCCATTGCTAACACTAATGAGTTTGACTGTCGTGTAAGCGGAATAGGTCAACTTTAGCCTGTTCGTGCTGTGCATAATTGATTCACGCGATCATTGTCGGAATAACCATACATGTAATGTGAATGTGTATATGAATGATGCAGACGGTCCACCAGGGTGTTTGCTACCCGTGTGGTTGCGCCACAGGATTGAGCTGTACTATTCAGATTGTAGCGTTAAAGCCTATACCGTGTCTGGTTCTCCTGTGAAGCGGGATTGAGCTGTACTGCTCGGTTTATAAAATTTAAGCCTGGGTGGTGTCTGGCTCTCCTGTTAAAAGGAGTTGAGTTGTACTGTTTGGGTTGTCACATGAAAGTCAGGATGGTGTCTGGTTCTCCTGGAAACCAACGTAAAATTACCCTGGCCCACAAGGGTATATTATATGACTAATAAAATATGCTGTTAAGACTTACATCGGACTTGACAAACACAAATAACATATGCCTTTTCAAAATATCTGAGCAGCATACTCAATCTATTTTAAGACAAATGGCACAACACCATTAAAGATTATTATGATTTAAAGTTCAAGATTTATGGATCACAGTAAGTGAAACTGGTAAGCTATGATGAGTCGTAATGCACTAGCTAAAAAAGAACTGTAATACTCTATCAGATATCCTTTAGGCATCAGTTTAATCACACAAAAAACCTTTTAAACTATACTAGGACTCAACAATGCTCACCATCAAAGGGACCTTACACTAAAGAAACAATGGAGTCGCCATTGGATCACATGAGTTGTCGGTTGTCACTAACTCATCCATGTGTATATACAATCGAATAGGAAGCTAAAATAAGAAGAACGACTAACTTTTAAATTGAACAACGTAGGTTATAACGAATGAATTATATGGTTTACAGAGAAAGATAAGAATTATAAGTTACACGTGTTACGCAAATGATGAAGACGGAATACAAGCTCACTTAAGACAAAATGCAAGCTTATTATAGTGAAGAAATCTTCTCTTAAAATATTTGTTTCAGATGAAGTCTTTAGTGAATCAAGGTGCACATTTGTTTCTAGAAAATAGGCAGGAATTGATACACGGTTTACTCATTTTAACTTTATCATTAAGTTCTGAAGTATGAGCATATTTGAATAGGATTTTTATACAGATTCAAATGGTGAGACGAACAAACTACCAAGGAAGTTAGGAGAAACATAAAGTTTATCAGGTTTTCAGAAGTGCCTGGTTGTTTGAATTAGCAATTTCGACATTATCAGCTCTATAAAACTGAACAAGTAAGTTTGGAGTTTTCCAAGCACTGTGAGCTTTTCTAAGATACCGATGAAATTTGAAACCCACAGTCGACATCTTATCGATTATCTACAATCACAATGTTTTATTATTATTATTATCTGTACGATGGATAGTATAAAAATCAATATGATAGCTATTAATATTTGATGACGAATCGAAATGGAATATTGACCGTTTTCTTACCGAAGAATGCGAAAGGCAGCACTACATGCAGCTGTTTCATCGTAGCTTGTAATATGTGTACCTAAATTAACACCTTGATTTAACTGCTCTTCAAGAGTTCTATCTGCAGCAGACAAACGGTCGAACGACAATAATGTAGCACCTTCCAGTTCTGGAATACGATTCGCTATTATCAAAGTATTTACAGCCAAATTAGTGAATTCCAATTCAACATTGACGTATGGATAAAGACCAGGTCGATTGATTTCAACTACCTATGAAGGCATGTAAAACAACCTTGTAATCAAAAGGAAGTAGTAAAATATTTTATTCATAAGAGATAAGACTCTTAGCGCTACAGTCCCAGCACAAAAATGTTTATATGGACACCAAGGAACTCAAGTAAGCCTGATAACAGGCCTGAAATAACAGACCAATAAAAATATCCTTTGGAGTGCTCTGCTCAGCGTTTGAGGTGCCTCCAAAGACTATTATTTGGTGTCCTGACAGCCTTACAGATTGTCTCACTGACAAGAAGATTCCTTTCATTAATAGTTTGAGTTAACTGGAGCAGTCAAATGCAGCTACTACTTCCAATTTGTTAGCTCATTGTGACCGGAAGGATTCGCATTCTTCGCACAAGTTTTGTGAAGGACTTGCGAGAATTGTCGTATCAGCAATCAACTGTAAAAAACTGATGTCCGTTAAAGAGTCACAAGAAGTTTACAAATTCCAGTGTTAATAGGTGGGACGTTTCAAAAAGACGATTTCATCCGCGGTTGTTTAGCTTTTGGTAAACGGAGCTAATTTATATACGTTTCACAACGAGCTCACAGCTAGGTATTAAGCCTAACTTGGTTTTATATTAATTCACAATAAGTCTACGTCACAATTTGTTTGGGACAGAAAATTTGTTGACCGACAAAACAATTGACGAAGTTCTGATTTGCACTAGAGAAAACGGGTTCGAATTGTGACCAAAGAGTTTCTCATTTATTGGACAAGTTTAACCACCTGAAAAATCAATGGCGTTAATTTGTCATCCTCCTAAAGTGATATTGTTTTTCAGTCAAACACTCATCAAAGGGAAACTTTTGTTTATTAGTTTCTTATTCCATTCAAAATGCTAGTGTTTCAACCTACTGCCAAAGAATTTGTAAATGTATTTGTGTGCAGTAACCTTGTAGTTAGACCAGCTGAATTACAGTTGGCTGATGAATTATCATTTTAATGAATTAACCACATTATCCAGTCAGCCTGAGGATCGATCAGTGCATGGAAATACATGGATGTGGATAATACAAAGTGATTAGTTATACTACTATTGAGAAAACCTATAACTTTCTGGCTTCATGTAAGTAAACTTGCAATTTTGTCAAGTAATCTCTGAGTTATTGAAGTGGCGTTCAGTTGTTCACTATAATTACATGACGATACTCAATTAAATCAGGGTGGTTTTGAATTAATTCTTCTCTGTCCTCGATCAATCAATCTTTTCCGGTAGATTTGTCTTTTGGGTAAGCCGGGGTTAGAAGAAGTGAAGGGAAATTCCGTTACTAAGTGTATCTGAATCGACGCTGAGACGTTTCATCGTTTGAACAAGCTGTATCACAACTGAGTATACTAAAGGATTTTCCTGTGCACTGAAATCTGATTCGCCCAATGAAGACCTCAGGTATGACTACAAATCAACAATCCAGTAACTCAATATAGTATGGACAGAAAAGAATTTCAAACAAAAAGCTGATAGTGGAAATAAAGATTAAAGTTAATGCAAACAACATGAAACACACGAGTATAAAGCTAAGTACAGTAGTAAAGCAATGAAGAAATTCACTATAATGAAGTAATTACGGTTTCATGATTAGCTTAGATAAGCATAATACATTATCATGGACTAAACCTAAGGTAGATGAGGAATTTCATAGGTTTTGTTTACGATTGAAGTTACAGAACATTTATCACTAACAATATTGCACAACATTGTATCAAAATAATAATAATAATAATAATAATAATAATAATAATAATAATAATAATAATAATTCATTAAGTATCTCAACACTAGGCATTGAATCCACACCAATTCTGTGAAGGCTTGAGATACTATCAAGCTATTCAAATCAAAGTAATCAGAGCACAGTTTTGGACATGGGATTTAATGGTTGATATTTGAGTAGAAAGAGTCATTCTACTCCACCTACCTACAATGCTTCAGTTCTGACTGCTGAACAAACTGTTTAATGTGGACACCAAAAAGCAAATAAGCGAGGTGGTAGATCGTATAAGTTAAGTGATAAGAAATGACTTCATCATATGCTCACTTATTTGTTAAAATGTGTTTTAAATTATTACATTAACTTACTCCAGATTCTTCCATTTCAAGTAAAAGACGTTGATCGTCTGTTTCTTTCCCACCTAAATCTGGACGACCAGAGGACGAACACCAAAGAACATGATTATGCTTAACCAAATGTCTAGCGTAAAATATATCACAACCCAGTTCAATAGCATTTATAGAGCTGGCAGGAGGTTGAATATCTTGACTTGGAGGAGTCAACGAAACAGGTAAAGGAGCTTCAGAAACTGGTATATTTCCAACAGGAATGTGTAAATATCGCGCCAACTCCAACTGACGTTCGAGACGTGCTTCAGACTAGAATTATTATTGGTAAGTTTAAAAGATTAGCACTTTTCTCTTGAAGAATGTTACATTATTTAATAAATATTTTCCTCAGAATTGGTCCAGTTTATGAGGAAACTGTATTGAAAATGAATGAATTCACACAAAACTTACTAACTGACCAATCTAGAACAGAAAGGATACGATTCGACACAAATCGATGAACATTAACTGGGCTCAGATGTATAGAAACAAGTACTCTTCATACTAAGTTTGTTAATGACATTCTTCTTGTAATTCATTTCACTACTCACCTTTGTTTTTTGATTATCGAAATCAACAAGCGCGAACACTTTAATAAACACTTTATATTTAGTCTTTTTTACTACATCACCAATCAATTGTAATCATATATAAATAACTTTTCACAGTTACTTAATTACGTATTCAAACACCTAACCTCTTCGTAATTACTGGGGAATTTTTATCTACATTATTTATGACACTGCCTCCGGTTGTAATTAAGCTTTGGTAATACTTCGCCTTTCGTCAGAAAAAACGACTGAACATCTTGAGAACTTAAGTGTAGTGTTCGGATTCAAAAAATGTCATTTTATTTATTCACCAATTAACCTAGATTGATATGGTGGTTATGCTAACTAGAACAGTGGAACAAAATACGTGGATTCTATACTGCAGAGGTCATTTAAGACATCGATGCACTAGTTGAAGTTCGTAATTCGAAAAATTCTCATAAATCTCTGCTACTAACTTAATTAGAAGAACGATTTAGTGGTATGTTATTTATTTTCAGTGTCAGTTTGTCTTCAGGTAATATATGGGTAATAATGATGAGAAACTCGTTTACACCGTAAACTGATATCACCTAGACAGTCGTCAAAAGCTAGAAAGCACTGAAAACATTTTATCCTATTACAGACCTCAGTAGTGAGCTGGAAATGTGGACCATTGAGTGGGGACTTGGTGGTCTGAATGTATTGAAAAGCTGGAATTCTTTCAGTTCGATCCTCAGTATGGTCACTTACGTTCACAGATGAGAAGTTCCATACCAAGACAGAATAACTGTCACATGGCTTTTTAGGTGTTAATGGTTATCCATATTAATCCAATTTTTAGTACAAACTCTCCAAATCGAACAATTTTTACAGGCTTGAAAGCTAATTTTGTAGCCAAAGAGTAACACGGTAGTGAACATTACAAATTTATTACTGAGTCTTGTATGCACATTAAATTGGAACGATAAAAAAGCCGGGTTTATTCTTTATATGCAGAACATTAATAAGATGACATGATTCTTAAAAAAGTTTATACGATCCATTAGATAAATTCTTACCTGTAAAAAATAACGAATACCCCGTTTTACAGCCGCTTGTTGCCAATTTAAAAGACTATAGGCATCCATGCTATACTCTACATCGCCTATTTGGCTTTCACCCTCATCCATAGTACCACCAAGTTGAATTACAGGAAATTCCGATAAAACAGGCAGTTGAGGGCTACGACGACGTCCAATTATCTCGTCATTCAGTGGCCAATTCACTTCATTAGAACCGCTTGAGATATCTTGTTGTGTAGCAGATAGAGAAGAATGGAGCAAAATAACAATTGGTGCAGCTGACTGAGAGCTAGTTATGTTTGCTTCCTTGGAATTCGCCTCTCGTGCACCCATACTTTTACAGAGCCCAGTAATCCAACGTTGGACTATTCGACGACCAATAACTGCATCTGATTCAGTGCGCACTTCAAAATTTAAAGTATCCGGAGGGAAATCTTCGTTTTCATATTGAGGAAAACACTTAGTACGTTGTCTCAAATACAAAACATTTAAATCCGGTAGCTGATTAATTCTTGCACTATCAATTACACAAACATAACCACACCTAGTCCATGGTACAATCAAAAGGTAAAGCTAAAAACAAAGTTATTTGATAGAATGGTTTTTAGTCAACATATACATTTGTAAATGTTTAGAGAATATTGTGAATTTATTATCTAGCTGCCATGAACTTAGAAGTTTGTGACAGAATTATTAAGCATGGCCATGAAGACAATAAATCATAAAAAAGTGTATGGATAAATTCATTTGAATGTTCAATATATGAGAAGTCTATCATTGTTTGTACAAGTAATGATGGAAATCCTATAAGGGGACAACTGAACACATAATACTCCTCCGAAATTTGAATAAGACTCAACCAAGACTTCATGTTGACTTTTCAGTGATACCTTGTGCATAGTAGGTTGTCTACCTCAATGTTGAAGGATGAATAGAAATATATAAACAGTCCCGAAGAAAATCGTCCATATATATGATGATAGAAAGAGCAGTACGCTTTATCAAAGTTTACTTTAGTACCTAATTTTAGGCATCTCAGTTTTTCACTACACTAATAACAAACATATAGACATAATTTCTAACACCTTTTAATAATGTATTTATTAAAGAGAAAATATCAAACTATGTAGTAACAGTAAAACGTACCTGTCTTTGTGAATCTTTTCTTGTTATGGCCTGTCCTACTGAAGGCAACTGATGGTGAAATAAGAATAAGTGCCTCAGACCACAACCAGATAAATATGGATGTTGGGCCAAAGAACAGAAACATAGTTGGTCCAAATTAAAACTGCCTTCGTCCGAAACTGGTCCATGTTGATTATTTCTAAAAGCTTCCCGGTCAACTGTACACAAACATCCTACTTTCATTAGTATACGAAATAAACTTGGAACACCAAGTTCATACACGCCTTCAACATCTGGCCTTGCTAAATCCGTAGCAATTTCTGGAGCGTGTTCAGTGTAAACACTTTCTGGAACGTTGTACTCATATAGATGATAAACTGTGTGATTTCTGGGAAGAATAAGACCACTTGCACTTCTGGTTTCATTACCCATCGATACATTGCCAGATACTTTACGGAAGAGTGGGCCAGAGTCCTTGGGTTTGGGTGTACGCATATTAACATAGAAATTTCTGGATACTGTTACATCTACAGCATTTAGCGAAGGAACTAACCCAGAATCAGGTGAATTAATTAAAACCCATAGTGTATAGTGACCAATTTGCCCAGGATCCGGGACAATCTCAATCACCTTAAAATTGCAGGTAAGAAAATGGACAAACAAGTAACAAGTATAATATCTGTCTATAATAGGAAGACAACGGATAATACACATAGAATATAATGTACGAAGAACAACTAACTCAGGCAAATAATCATGAGAGTATTGAATATTACTTGAAAATTAGTACAATGAAGTTGTAGGTTTGAACTAGGAATATCATGTGACGGTCTGTAATTCAACATTAATATAGTTAACTGCTGTCCATACAACTAAACGCAATGTATGTTTAAAACTAAGTTATGAATAAATCAACATATAATTCAAATGACTAGTGAAGAACAATCATATAAGTTCAGTCTCGATGAAAACTTAAACAACGAAAGCGATTGCGGAGTAATCATCCACAGAAAACATGTACAACTTCTTATAAATAGGATGAACAAAATGATAATAAACCGTTAGTGATAACAAAAACAATGGTGAACCAACTCAAATTGTAGTGACAGTAATGATTATGGAAATAATACTTCAAGGTGGGAATATCACTTCTATTAGTTCGACTGGATACATTATCAATAGTCCTTTTAAATTAAACAAACTTGGATAAAGACTCAACGTAAAAATAAACTACGTGCGTTGAACTAAAATTGATGTCTTTTATTAACCTAATGAAATCAGCCAGTCATATGTAACGTAGAACCTGGTACGTATGTGCATCGTTCTATGTTGTCGTGCATCAGTGCAGCGAGATGAAATCGTCGAAATGGTAGTAGCGGCATTAGTAGTGGTAGTCAGTGATATTAAAAACAGCAGGTATGGAGAGGAAAGACTGAGTTTGAGTAATAAAAGTTACAAAATAACTTTAAAATTCAGGATCTAGGAAAGACGAGGAGTATATACATCTGCGACACATAACTGGATCCTAGCCATTTTACCCAGCGTCTCTAATTTTTGATTAGGGTAGTCGCGAGGACCCTAGATAGATAAATTATCAAGGTCAGCTAGCCTACTTCTATGCCAGACAACATCGCACGTCGAAGTAGATTGCAATTAGGCACACGTAATATAAGTTCCCAGCCAGTTACTTTGATGAGGATTGGTAATTATATAGACCTATCAACATCACTTAGTGATTACAATTTTTTGAGGACATCTATGGTTAAGTACTGTAGTGTAGGAAGACTTGGTGGGTAAAACCAATTTATTGTTTCATGAAAAATCAAACAGTAGCTTTCTAAAATATGAAAACCATACACTGAATGCGTCATTTGCATATCATCCTTCAGTTGTCCCTTACTTTATTATTCTTCTGATTCTGTTGTCGTTTCGACAGCCCATTGCTTTCTTTCTTCATCCCTTTATTTCACTCTTCTGCTGGTAAACATTCTACTTCCAACTCCCCTTACATACTGCTTACAATTGTTCGCATATTTAGTGCACATCACAGTACTAGTAGACTGTGATTTTATAGACGCTTCACAAATATAAAGAGGGAGCTGCTGCGCTCTGAGCATAAATGTCTACACCCATTAGTATGCGTGGAGATTTGTTATGTCGCTAAAAATCTACTTGATCTCTACGTACGTACTACAGAGTAAACCCCATCAATAGCTCTTCTAGAGTTACTGCCGGTCCTATGAACACATAAAAAGGTGGGTTGGGAATGATGTCAGCAATACCATCCCGTAGAAAACAACCTTGCGAACAAACATTAATCAAATTATACGGTAGAAACAAGCAAGTGTAGAAGAGCATTAGAACCGACAAGCAGAAATACGTGGAAGAACTAGAGACGATGGAGGGAAAAGCTGCAAGAGTAGGAAATATGAAGCAACTATGTGATACAACGAAGAAACTAGCAGGGAAATATAGTAAATCAGAGAGACCGATCAAGGACAAAGAAGGCAAGACAATCACCGAGATTCAAGAACAAAGGAACAGGTGGGTAGAATACTCCGAGGAACTGTTGAATAGAAAGGCTCCATTGAATCCATCGGATATTGAATCAGCACACACAGACCTCTCCATAGATGTCATTTCATCAACGATTGAAGAAATCTGGATGACCATCAGACAAATCAAGAGTTGGAGAGCAGCAGGATCTGACAATATACCAGCTGAAGCACTGAAGTCAGACATAAAAGTAACTTCAAACATGCTTCACCTTCTATTCACAAAGATTTGAGAGGAGGAACAAGTGCCACCGACTGACTAGAAAGAAGGATATCTCATCAAGATACCAAAGAAACGAGATCTGAGCAAATCTGAGAACTACAGAGGCATCAAACTACTATCAGTACCAGGAAAAGGTTCCAATAGCGTTGTTGGACTGGATGAAAGATTCAGTAGACACCCAACTTCGAGATCAACAGACTGGAAAAAGAGAATCTTGAAGTAGAACACAGCGACACCAACGAAATCACAAGAGACGATGAGGCTCAGAAAGAGGTGGAAGCATTTACGTACTTGAGAGGCATAATCAGTAAACACAAAAGATATGATGTCAAAGACACCCCTAAAACTGAAGAATGCCTGGAAATAAAGACAAATGTCACCCAAGAACAAAGTCAGAATTTTCAACACTAATGTGTAAACAGTTCTATTTTACGAAGCCAAACCTTGGACAACTGCCACTACCACCAAGACAGTACAGGTATTCACAAAAAAACAATTATCCAACACATTTCACATCCACTGGTCAAAGACATTAGTAAAAGCCTACCGTAGAGGAAAATAAACCAGCTGAGAGATGAGAAAAAAACTAGGAGACGACACAAAAGTGTGGGTAGTACACACTGTGGAAAACAAAAGTCTGCATCACAAGGTGTTATATCCGGACGAAAAATAAGTAAATAGTAACTGCTAGGAACCATTTATGGACTGTTATTACATATATTCATATCGTATAATTGTCAAGTAACCATATTACATGCATATTCATATTCCTTTTATTATAAACTTCCATTTAACCTGTTGACTACTATTATGCGATTTGCCATTTATTCCATCCAACTGTCCTAGAATACATAAGACCAAAGGAAAAGAGGTAACTGAAAACACATGGCTCAGATAACTGAGAGCAGGCCTTAAAACCATGAACTAAAGAAAAGAATCCAGGACAGAGTCGTTTTGAGATCCCTGGTCGGTAGCCTATGACTCCATGAGGGATGGCCGGGTTTTAGCAAGTAGCGATCAGCTTAGTGGAACACAACGTTACTGTGCAACGAATCTATTGTTTCTAGAAATATCTGGATCAGTACTGTAGAGCAAAATAATTTTAAAAACGGGAAATACCAAAAAACATATGTTACCTGCCATACGGCTGTGAATAGATTTACTCGAGTTTGGTTCAAATATCTGGCCAAACCACGCTGTCTTTTAGCAGATGGTATGAATGAGTAACCATGGTTGGAATCGCCATTCATTTTTGTATTACCCATAGATTTAGTGAAATATTGACGCTGTTCTAATTGGAGACGCCACTTAGCTTGATGAAACGCCAGCCATTCAGTCAATTTTTTCGAAGTATTAGCATCATCCAAGTTTGGAGGTTCACCTAACTGTTCTCTCCATGATTTAAAAGGACTGTTAGGTGACCGGAATCGTTTTACAGGGGGGTGTCGAGTGATGATGGGTGTGGTAGACTTAACTTTCTCGTCATTTCTTGAACATAGTGTTTCGAGATCTGGTAAATCAGTAATTTGTTCTTGAGGTTTATTTGTCACTGGATTTTTTAAAACAAATACTTCTGTTAACTTCCGTTGTTTACATGTATCCATTTTTTCAGCTAATTTACGAAGTAACCAATCAGGATGACTAACTCTAGGTACTGGATTAGAAACCTGCTGCAAAGCCGCTGGGATTGTGATAATTTTTTGGATAGCACTCGACAAGCGTTCAATATAATAGGACCAATCAAGTATTTCACGTATATCAGTATGCTCATCAAGATTCGAATCTTTAAGCCACTTTTGAAGATAATGACGTTTTATTGATCCCTCTGCCTAGTAAATATAACGGGAAAAATAAAGAACCGAGAAGGGTAGCAAATATTCAACCCAACTTTTATCAACCACCTAGGTAAAAATAAACATAAAAGTGAGTATTATCGAGGCTTTTTGTGGTTGATGCGAAGAAATTTTCGATTGCTTGATGTGTAAAATGTTAATCATTAGATGAGTTTAATGATATGATGTGACGGAGTAAGAGTACAATCACAAAGTAATAAGATGAAAGAGAATCCATGAGCACTGCATATGTCCTCGTATATAAGATTTCATGAGTGATCATCATTGGGAAATTTCAATCATAAGGTACTCGGAATAAGTATTTCCCCAACTGTGGAGAAAAATGTTCCACACTCCAAAACAAAGGGAATCAAACGGTATGGAAAATTTACAGAGTTATTACGTAAGTAGTGTCTCATTATCATTGAAATTCTTAATATTCTGTGACCATACTATCCGTATTCAATAAAAATAACGTAAATATTTAAAAATCCTTCAAGACTGGAACATAACATCATGTTTACCTGAAATATAGCTAAAGGAATAGCTCGTTCAGTTACTGGAGCACCGTCGGGTTGCCGTGCAATGATATAACGACAAGATAAACCGGCATCTTTAACAATTTGGTCTCCTAAAAATTCAGCCATTCGTCTAGCAGTACTTAGAGATGTCGATTTCTGACTCCCATAATCTTCCAGTTTTCTAGACATGCTTCGATTTTCCGAAATCAAATCGAACAATTCAGAATCTGGCATATCAGCTCCTTTAGAGTAAAGTACATCCAACCAATGATCAGCAACACTAGCTACTGATGAATAGGCTTCAACTAAACTATGCCCACGAAGAAATGCCTCAAACACAGATGACTGAAATATTTTAATCAGCTGTAGTTCACCATTCCGTTTAATCTCGAATCCTTTCAATTCTGCCAAACTCCCATCGAAATTGAAAACAGCGTAGCGCTTTTTTAGACGTTTTCCTTCTTCCTTCGCAGCAGGTAGAACCATGGCTTTATATGGACCGTCAACTTCAAAATATATGGAGTTTTCGGAACGAATTTTGTAAGTGAGAGTCTCCTGATCAACTAATTCATGATACTGATGATTTGTGAAAAAATCTTGCACCATGATGTTCAATACAGCTCCGGGATATGAAATCGAAATACGAGATGGCTTTGGACCGACAGCAGTAAATTCAATATTTTGCGGAAAACTTGCAGGAAGAATACACCATATCCCATCAGTATCCAGTTCTAAAGCACGGCCGATCTAAAAGAAAAAATATCAGCACACTGACAATATAAAAAAAAGCGCATTCAAGCTTTACAGACAAAATCTAAATGGGAACTATGGTAAAATAGGCTGTGCGAGACACCGCCCATCGAGCCATTACCAGACGCGTAATACGGCAAACGTAGATTTGCTTTTACATCCTTGAGAGAAGCAGATATTGAAGGAACAGACATTAAGTTACAATTTCGGAGGGAGAATGGTCGAGAAAAGTTGAAGTGACTTAATCAGATTATTAGTAAAAACAGTATACGCCAAATCTCCTTTATACTACTAGAAGATTGAATGGCAATAAACCAACCGTTCCTAACATGATATAAACGCTGATAATGCCTAGGTTAATATGGGGTTTTTCAGACGAAATGACATCATTCACTGATTAATATAACGACAAAATATACTCGATAATAATAATTATTATTATTATTTCTCGCTTTATTCAGCACTGAAATAAAGAATTTATTTCAAAAAGCGTTTAGTAATTTACACGTAAATTCCATGTACATCAACTACGTCTGTTATCTTGTCGTTTGAACTCCATAATACTTTGAATTTTGACATTGACAGTTTATTTTGCATATTCTCTTAGATTTGTGCATTAAATTTACTATTAACCATAATCTTTTTTTAATATCATATTTAGTTAAATGGTACACCCTAAAGGTTTGTAGACATATCTAAGGATCTACCTTACTGAATAACGCTAAATCAATAAGAACTCAGGTCAGAGGGACGCATATTCGGCGGAAAAGTTTAAACTATTCTTGACACTAACAAGGCCAAACAGATTGTCAACAAAAGAAACCCAGAGACAAAAGTTAATTTCAATTACTAATGTAGGAAGAAACCTAGAAAATTTATAACGAACCAGAAACTATATGTTCGTGATTTCTTTTATTCATCTAATTGGACTAGTGGTATAATCACAGAACACCAGCGAAGTGTATTATATGAGGTAGAAATAGGTAGTAGGTCTAACATATAAACGACACTGAAGATACTGCACGGATAATGAGTAGAACGGATCGAAATTAATGTTTGAAATTCTTTTAAACAGTTTAGATGTAGAAAAACCGACAGTGTATAAAAATTATAAACCATAACAGATACTTGTTAAAAAGTTAGTATGAAAACAAAGTTCGGACACTTCAAATCGATTAAAGCAAGAAATAATAATTCTCAAGGAAAAAGGGAATATGCAACAAATGCTTTGCCGTATTAACATTTATGTTTGTCGACGTCAAACGTCATGATGAACCCTAAATCAATACAGTACTTGCTTTAGGTTCTGAAACATGGTGAGGAGTGAAAATCCAGCAGGTTTTACAATAATGTGACTATCTCACGAAGTCAGGCTGGGATCATATGAATAGAGATTTTATTCGGAAAACAAACTGCATCCCACTAATAAAAACGAATACAATGATAAGCGCTTAAGAATTTACAAGTTTTTAGTATCCGTCCATGCACAAACTATTTTTCGATAACGTATTTGAATTTATTTATTGAGAAAATTCAAATTTACATATAGGAATGGTAGGTTTAAACACAGAACCTTTAAATGTTAAAGTTAGAACAAATCCACTCATAATGAACCTCAAAAGCAGTTCAGAGTTGTATTTAAAAAGATTATAGGCATATTTTGGTTAAAAGAACACTTGAACTGAGATATTCAAAAGGGAAATATTACAAAGTTTAGAAGAAAAACAACTAACTTGTTCTACTATTTCTCTCGATTTAGTTATGATATTAGCACCAGTGTGACAGACAATGCCAGCCATTTCCATCGAATACCAACGAGCACCGCGTCGCATTACATAGCCATAAAAAGAGTTTAGAATACACTTATGCGCCAGTTGAAGGCTATCGTACAGTACAAGCATAGCATTAGCCTCTTTTACAGCATTTGAATCACCTGTCCCAGCCGACAGAGCTGCACATGCATCATCGTAATGACGCTTCCATGTCTAAGAAAGAAGAAAACTGCAATAAAAATTGTGAAACAAACAGAAAGACTAAAGATGATTCATGTAAATACATATTACTCAGATAAAAGCTCCCACCATGGACCAAAATTCATTGGAAAACAAACAGAAAAAAAAAGATGTCATTCATCATAGGATGGACTAAAAACTTTAGACCTCATAACTGTTATACCGTTTTGATTAACATGCCAGAGCAAAAAATAATCGAAGTCCATGTTTGAAAACCGTATATAACACGACCCAGTATCGATTTTTGGTCAAAGGACGAAATAGCCTTATTCATTGAGACCATATTTACATGAAAACAACTAGACTTTTGAGCATAAGTCAACCCCTAGCTAAAAAGTAAAAATAATGAGCATAATTAAATTGTTTTCAGTCACAACATTATATAACGAATGTTGCCGTTTTGATGTGCTGATCGGGATTAGATAGGCAGATAGAACACTTGCTCACTGAGCTCCTAACATCCCAAAAAAGTTGTCTGGATAGCGCTAGAAACAAGAGAGTTAAGTCATGGTCCGAAAGCGAATTGCTAGCTAAGTGGATAAAAGCACTTATTAGTTTATGAAAGCCACACACTAATCGTTCAACTATTCTTAAAGGTTGGCTGTTCCAGTTTACAAGAACGAGGATCCTGGTGCTGATTGGTCACAGACTGGTGACTAATGTCATGTTTGTACAGTCCTTAGTGGGTTCTCTGAGCACGAATCCCACAGGAGGCATCAGTCCCCTTATGACCATAGGTACATCTTATCGACGAATGTCGACTAACATGAAATCTAGATAAAGCGTTTTCTGCCGTTTACCTCCAACCACATTACAATGAGGATTCTTGTATTATCCAGTGCATCAGATAACCATACAGTAAGGATCCATTATCATTCTTCAACATCTATCCGAAGAGCAGAAACAACACGAGTACTCGTCACCAACTATGTTATTTATTTGAACACATAAATATTGGTACAAGGGGGCACCAAATATATATGCGTCACACAAAACAACGAGAATGAGAAGAGAAAAAAAGAAAGGTAGGAAGTGTGAAAGAAAAAAGAGAAGAACGATAACGACGAGGTCAGTGTAAGGTAATGTAAAGTAGTGATGATGATGATGATAAAAATAATAATAATAATAATAATAATAATAATAATAATAATAATAATAATGGGGGAAACGGAAAGGTACAACCAGAAGAATTCTTTCAGTTAAGGAAGATACAACCACTTTTTATGAAGAAGGTAAAAATGGTTACAGAAGGATCGCCACTGGCTTCTATTCTGAGCCATATCTGATAACGTCTCTAGCCACTGTGTCGCACCATCTCTCGGACACCAGCCGGGAAGTCGTGAAGAACCAACAGAAGCCAGCCCTTTGTAGCTTTCGTTCATACCCCGACACCATGTCATACGCTGACCACCTCTCCACTTTTTCCAACCACTCCCAGCGTTGTCAAATAATGTACCGACTATGTAAACACGTTTGTTTGCTAACTTTGTACGCAACAGTCATTTACATGATCTTATATTTCACCTGGACTGCATAGACGATACAATTTTGTTTTGTAAAACTGAAGTCAATATGCAACCTACTCATCATGTAGTTTACCCGATGGAGAGTTTATTATTTGCCAACTACTCCTTGACTTCTTATACAACGGGAACAAAGTATTGCGTTAAAACTAACTAGGATGTCCGAAATAGGGTGACTGGACATATGGGAAATGTTCTGCAGCAAATACTACCAGCAGTATACATATTTTTATGGAAACCATCGTCAATGAGTACAATACGTCCAAAAATGTGCATTGTTATTCCAGCACGACACAACTTCAAATCACTATGGGTAACCATTACATTCATTAACATCTTATCAAAATGTAAACTGCAGTCAGACGTACTCATTGGTGCCTATTACAGAATACTTACCTTTGTCAAACCCTTAAATTTATATCGACGATCACGGAATGCCTTGACTGTGTCAACATAAAAAGAATTTTCTCGTTGACAGACCATAGCAAGGCGTTCTTCAGTTCGGGTTAAGTGAATACGTTTATAAGCTCGACGGCAATAATCCGTGATACGCTTTTTCTCCACTACAGCTTGTTCTTCCTTTGATAATTCGTGAAATGATTTCATTACAGTTTTGACGAACTTTTCATTAGCGTCAGTCAACTTAATGGGAAAGCGTTCTTGGGAAAGTTGAGCATGGATTCGATAAACTTCCGGTCTGGAAGCTGTCCAGAGCTCTGCACGCCATGTCCACGGCATGAAACGTTGACAGGATATTCCCGGTTTGTAAAATTCACAGTCAGCACACTTAGCAGCAGAACCAGAGTCGACAGCTGATGGTTGAAGTCGATTAGTAAGAATAATGTTTGGATACATGGCACCAACATCCAAGTGATAAATAACAGGACATTCAATTCGGTTAGGTGTGGAGGCCAATTGTTGTAAGGTGTCCTCAACTTGTCCACAAATCTGATGTGTGAAAACAAATAGATCGTAAGCTATAAACATGGGATAATATTCAGACGAAAGCATGGATAGAAACTACATCTATATTTAAGAACGTAAAAGTTACTAACCGTGCATTGCACGAAAATCTCTAAGGCTTAAGTGGGAATGCAATCTTAGGCGGATCAATTTCTTTCACTTCACAATTCTTACTGGCAAGAATATTGACAAGCATTGCATACAAAGCCTGCAAAAAACTACTACAATGAGTATTGATCAAAGGCCTTCAAGCTGACATTAAGCAGCTTAACTACTGATTTGTAAATATACAGTACACGGTTTGCTAACAAACATCTAGATACTTCTAAAAACCTGATAAACTTTACGTTTCTCCTAACTTCCTTGGTAGTTTGTTCGTCTCACCATTTGAATCTGCATAAAAATCCTATTCAAATATGCTCATACTTCAGAACTTAATGATAAAGTTAAAATGAGTAAACCGTGTATCGATTCCTGCCTATTTTCTAGAATGCCTATGTACTTCCCAACAATTCCCTTTTTGTAACTACTTAACTAAAACTATGTTAATTGCTTATCATAAATTACCATATTAGTTGTCTAACAAGTCTCCAACTTGTTTACAGAATTATAATTTGATACATGTGTACGACTTTATAGTTTGGAAAATGAGAAACCGAAATTTTACTAAACCATCCGTGATGATGGATATAGGATAATTATTGCATCTAAGCCTACGTCACATGAAACCATGAAGAGGCTTTAACTGTTTAACCGATATAACCTGAATAAAATACATGAGAACAAACTAAGTTCAAAGCCTAAATTAAGCTTAACCCAACTACATTTCTCAAACCCAGAAGAAATTTCTGTGCCATAATAACAGTTGGTAAATCCAGTCAACTATTTTTGCTTTATGGTCGAAAACTATTTAACTAAAAAGTCAGAGATAACGCAACACTTAGATAATTATGACTGCTGATGGTTGGGTATGACTATATAGTGACAAACGCAATCAATAAGGTAGAGATGCTAGCTGATGAGGATTCACTATAGATCATAACTATATTACAAATGGATCAACAAATACCCTAACAAATTTTTAATATCGATTTAATTTACATCAGCTGAGTTTAAATCCGAATAAATTATAAACTGTTCGATTCATAACTTATTATTCGATAGCATATTGCGAAAAAGAATACAGATCCTCATGAATAGAAATGTCACTACGAATGAAAACAAATAGATTACTGGGTCATATCCGTGTCTCTTCCTAACTAATATCACAAGAATAAGATATCAACATACAATCCCGACAGTTAGTTTGTAAATAAAATGTTTCGGGTAAAAAAAAGTAACATTTTAGAGCAGGAAAGTTATGAGTTTCTACTAGGCAGTAAAATTTAATATTGAATAAAACATACTTCGTAAAACACAACAATGTTTCAATGATAAAACCATAATATTAGCATTTAAGAAGTATATCATTACTGAAAACCCTATGTTCCTCTGCTCAAAAATATATCCACAGCGGCATCCTAACGGGCATAACTTTCTACAAGTTGGTGGATTGATAGGATCAAAAGATATAAATCTATCGCAGCAAATAGACAAAACAGTAGTAAATAACGCAGACTATGAACATATGAAGACAAGTGATAGTGTTCCTTTGCTTCTCAAAATTTTATAGTTTACAGAATTGGGGTAAACCAGAACATCTAATCAAGAATGAGTTATTCTAACAATAAGGGTTTCATGTAGTACATAATCAGCTACATAGGACTAACAGGTGAACAAAATGTGTGCATCCATTTCGCAATGGACGGCTTGGTGATCACAAGTTTTGTTACTGTGCGACAAAAAAGTGACCACAGGCTGACAACACAAAATAATTACTGGTAATCTCAAATAAATTACGGCGTGAAGCATTCAAAAGTTAATACAACATACTAAATACTCGGGCAAAGTGATAAGTAGAAACGAATTTAGTACTTCGGACCTATACCTTGTCAAAATTATCCTTCGCTATGACACTAAACAATGCATCTTCGTCTTCTGCACCTATCTCCGCCTGTAAAGCTCGACTCATACAACGTTTGACATCAGCTCTTAATTCTTCCAGGGCTGCAGGAACTAGGCGAAATCTAACGGGTATGTCAGCACGAAAAACACCCGCTTCTAAGGCTTCCACATGCCCACCAACATAAGTCTGAGAATCGATAAGATGTCCGTCCTCCGTAAACTTTCCAGAAATTCCAGAGTCACTCAACAACAAATTGTTAGGTCCAGATTCACCATCTGTCTGTTTGTGGGGAAAGACAACGTTCGCTGCATAAGCTTGAACCATCAAAAGAGCCTCGCATAGTGTACCGGAGCCTTTACGAAGAACATCGTCAGGGTTTAATGGAAGTATTGTACATAGTGCGAATACAAATGGATGGACATACTTCATATACAAATAGTAGGTGGCAACTGCATCAGACACTGAGTAATTCGCCAACTCTCTAGGTGATTCGTGAGCCATACGACACATTAGTTCTGGATCTACTTCAATTGGGTCATATCGTAGTTTAGCTTTGGCGACAGCTTTAAGACCTCGAGCTCCAACGGGAAGATAACTATCACGCTTAACCCAGCATAAGCAGTCAATGTGAACTGCTGGTCGTGATAGGTACTCGCCAGAACTTCCATCTCTTCCGGGGCCCGCAGTACCTTTCTGACGAGAGAACCCAATTTCTTCGGATACGGAGAGCCCGTAGCTAGCGGCTCGAATTTCAATAAATGGCCAGTCAAAATGATCGCCGTTATACGTAACCAATATGTTTGGTCGAACTCTCTGAATATGTTCGAAGAAAAATGTAATACAATCTAATTCTGTTTGCAAATTATGCACAGTGAAGTGACCTGGAAACTCTGGTCTTGGTGTGTAGTCAAAATCTTCTATATCTTCTGATAGGATTTCCCTGTTGCAGATAAGATGTCCAGCTCCATCTAACATATACGATATCATAATTATCTAAAATAGAAACAAATTAGAAGTATGCTAAGGTTAAGTAGTACTATCCAATATTGCAAAATCACTGAGCACCTAAATCAGTTTCATAAATCAACTTACAGAAGCCTTTTCACCTGAGACAAATTCCCCGTTAACACATAGCACAACGCATATACGCCGATAATTTATCATGAAAGATAAGAGCTTTTAGTTGTATTAACCAGGTTATAAACTTTGGGATGAATGAAACTTCTAAGATATCATCCGAAATCTAATAATTAGAGCGTTTTGCCCATTCGTTTTTGTAAAACACCCATAGCCAGCGAATTTCGACACTATTCAAACTGATAACGAAGAGCGTATATTAACTGGATGTTCCTGAAATCGACATTTCAGTCAATCAAATCATGTATCACAACACATACTGGTCACCGTACAAAGATCTAAAGGTAGCCGTTAGTTGAGAAATAACAACTGTAACATATTTTTCACATTTATCGCTTAAGGTTTTCGGATGTTGATGGAAGTGCGTACGACGAAATTGTACGCAATAGTTGGAATAGTTCATAGAAAGTTGGTATTAAATAAAAGCAGCTACTCATCGCGTGTGGAAAGATTGCAAGCCGTTGGAAACGTTCAGAAAATCAAGATGAGGATGATTTTATCTCTTTAAAGTGTAAGTGAACTAAATTTGCTACCTCTGAAATGGTGAATATTGAGTGATTCAACTATGACTTCTAATCTTCTTCACAACGCTGTCAGGCGTTTTCATTTTTTCTGTCTGAGAACAGATGACTAGCGAAAACAAAACAACAAATGAATTTAATCATTTGACTTGGGTTAGCGGTGCTTTACTAATAAGAACAAACACGTTACTGAAATTTGAGTTACAAATATATTTCTCCTACTAAACTGTCAAACAGACAGGACATAAAGTCTACGCTAAGAGGATGGGTCTAGTATACATATTCTTTACTATCAAAGAGCAGACATCAGGCGACAATAACAATGATCAAATGAATCAAAGTAAATCAGATTGTATTTTGTCATGTAATAAGATGTTACAAAGACATCACCAAACTATGAAGTCGTTAAGTGAGCTAACAAAAAATCATTTAGTTGTTGAAAAGTTCTTAAGAACTCTAAAACACATATTTACTAGATAAATACTAGTCAGAAGTATGAAGGGGACTAGGCACCGTTTATCTTAGATTTGCAGCAAACTACGAAAGAAACCTGTCCAGTGAAATAACAGACTAGTCACGATCAATGTGACTAATTCTTATCGAAAACGTCGTCCTAATGTATCAACCACAAAGAAAACCATAAAACAAACATAATACTAACTTGATCATTTGCAGGATCAGGAAACTTTAAAGGCATTTTGGTAGTCTCAATATCGAATGCCAATACCACAGGCTCAGGCCAAGCCACCGTATCTTCATGATGCTTAATTTCAGGAGGGCATCCAGGCTTACATGTTGTGATATACCAGCAACCAGCAAATATATTCAAGTCAATGCATACACGGGTTAAATAGGGAACATCTGACTCTCTTAGGTCAAACAAATTATCAAGAGGATCACTACGGTTTTGCTTTACGCTTAACTGGTTAGTTACAATTCCATAGTCATCATTTCTGAAGTGTTCAGCTAATATATCCGTATAAGAAGATCCCGAAGAGGCCAGCTCACGATTTGCACGGATCCGAACAGCTAGCTCTCTGCGAACTCGAACCAACTCATCCACACTATAAAACAACATCTTAAGGTAAGTTGCTTTGATTCCAACAAGGTGATTAGGCAAATCTAAATCGTTCTTCGAAACAACTTCAATTCCAGCAAGACGACCGGAGAATCGTTTCAATAGATACGAGTTGGCGTCACGCTCTGCGACCTGACCTCCACGAACCAGCACATAGAAATATGGGAGATAAGGTCTCGAAACTTTGAAACGGTTCCCGTCTGTTTGAAGGAAATAAAGATCGATGCCGCTGACCAGTCTCTTCGACTCATCTAGTAAATCAGTGGGGTGCATGTTTACGAGCCAGCCAATGCGCTCACCAGGACCAACAAATGTTTCGAAGCCGTATCGCCGATCAGTTATGTCGTTAGCTTTTGCTCTCAAATATCGGTGTTCATTTGACTCATTTAACGCACTTTCAGCATCTAGTGGTTGTTCTATATCATTCTTAACACCGTGAATCTGAGCGCCACTTTCATTTTTGGCATAATCCGATTCTTTTTTGAATGATCTTAGAGGAAATCCTTTTCGAAAACAATTAGAGCTTCTGGACATCCGCGGTGTCAGATACAATACTTAAAGCCAGTTATCGAGATTATATAAAGTCCAGAATTTTAGATGATTGATTCTATCTCTTGAGTACGTTGTTTATGGACGGGGATATGCAGAGAAGCGTGTATGATGATCTGGAATAAAGAACATTTGAAAACGTAAGCATGCGAACGGAATTCAGTTGGGCTTAAAAGTGATGGCAATAAAGTCATAGCAAGCAATTAAATGGTTGTGAAATCAGGATGATCTAATAATTATAACACTAAATCAATGAATACCACGACTACATAACAATTTAAATACTTTTAACTGGCGCCGGTGAGGATACGTCACTATTGGCTGATTCAGATAGCGCAACTATTGGTACGTTTACCTATAAACATACTAAAACAACTATGCAATAACGATCAATTGTTCTTCCGTTTACAGAATACCAAGTGATGAATGTATTGAAAAAATAACAAAATGCCCATAGAAACTGAAAATCACTTGTGATAAATTGGGGTAAACATTCCGAAATTTTTTACATGGTAATAAATATCATAATTTTTCCATTTCTGGTAACCATTGCCAAAATACTTCATATTGAATAAGTGAAACACACTGAACCCAAGCTGAAAAGAAACGTTTAAACTGGGAAGAGATGTTGCTGTATTCTTATCATTAAGAAGAAAATGCTCTACACACTCAGGGAGTCGATCTGGCACTGTACAAAGAAGCTCGAAATGAACATATTGGGCAGGATTCTCATGAATACAGGATCGTCAAAGCATCCTTCAGAGCAACGAAGGATAGAATCACAATGAGCGTTATCCAATATTATATTATAGCAACAACGACGATAAAGATCAGTTTAATAAGAGGCTGAAATCAAATATAGCGAAGTCTCCAGGAAACGACTTGAACGCTTTTCTCGAGAGATCGCCCAAATTGATAAATTTCCCATTTCCACGAAGTGTGTTAGAAATTTCTTAAAGGACGTGCAGTTTGTATCGAATCGTCTATAGAAACTCGCAAGGTTGTTAAACGTGTGTAATTGTTAATAGTGGTCGGTTCTGGGTAAAACAGATCTGCTGTCACGTTGCTTCTCAGAGGTCGGATGCCTTGAACGTCAGTAATGTGTCCTAGGAAATCTAAAAATTTAGTTCCGATTCGGCATTTCTGAATGTTCACAGTAATGCCGTGCTTCGCTAATCGCTCGAAGACAAAATCCCGATGCGGGAATGAGATCCTCTGTCCAGAATTGCAACCAAGCAGTCATCAACATGCACATGTACAAAGTTGAGACCTCGGAAAATGTCATCGATGAAGCTTTGGAACGCTAACTTGTGCGCCAGTATTGTCGAAGTAGCGAAATTTCGTTATCACACCATTGGCGCATAACAGACAGCTGTGTTGCCGTTACCGCGTATCCGCTAGGAAGTTTCTCGAACTGTTTCATATTTTCAGTTTTCCATTTATAGAAAAATTTCCTAACTGGTTACGATATCAACATCAATCCGAGTTATCTGTCTCTCGAGATCTAGAAACAGATCGTTTTCTTGAAGAACTCCTTCGAGGGTTTCAGAATCGTTTACGTTCATGACGAATACAAAGGTAACGTGTCAGAGTATGACATAGTTCTGTTGTAGTGACTCACGTTTATTACAAGAACACGACTGGTTCAATAAAAACAATTATTATTATAAACAGTTGTACCAGTGTTTGTTTTAATATGCTTTTGTTTAACTGTGCTAATTATAGCCATTTTGTGCTTCCATTACCTTCCATTATTGTTTCGCGCCTTTTGCTGCTGTTCGCACGTATTCTGTACTCCTGCTTCCGCTTGTACCGTTCTTGGCACGATCTCGGTATTCATTCGATACCACGAGATCGCCAAACGAATAAATCTGCTTACGCTCAACCTACGCCTTCTGATATTCTTGGCACGTGTATTTTGGTAGCGGTGTACATAGTCAATCTCGACTCGACGCCACGCTACAATTGGTGATCCCAAAGTTTGGAACACGCCTCAACCTCTGGTGAAATCTTCCAAAGAAGCCAGTTCGGTGAGTCTATTATTTATCTATCCACGTCTGTCGTATATTTTCATATTATCTTTTAATACATAATATACTCGACATGACGGATAACGATAAGAATAGTATTAATATAATAGACTCCCACGTATTTGTACCGAATCCTTGTCACTTTTTATTCGCGTGACGGTAAATCCCACGCTTTATTCGATTCTCCTCGCTGACCCGGCTGCTTGGTACGGAATGCATACGCTTAAGCATATCCGTCTACCACCCAGCACCAAATGGTTAAGTTGAACGGTTTCACTGCCCACTTAAAAGTGCTCTACGAGCACACGAAAACGGCAACTGGCACGAAACCTTACCGCTCGTTATTTTAGGGATCGGAACGAGCTTAAAGGCAGATATCCAATGTTCCGCCGCTGAACTTGTATACGGCACGACATTGCGTCTGCCCGGAGAATCCTTCACACCACGGAGCAGACCTGATTTCGGTAAATCAGACTACGTCCATCGACTGTCTGCATTTATGCGAACGCTGTCTCCGGTGTCAACTCGAATACAACATCGACAGGTCGCTCTCCCTCGAGAGTTATCTACCTGTTCACATGTTTTCGTACGAGTAGATTCGGTACGCAAATCTTTGCAACAACCTTACGAAGGCCCTTTTCGCGTGATCGCTCGTCATGAAAAGACCTTCAAGGTTGATCGACACGGCCGCGTCGAAATCGTCAGCATTGATCGTCTCAAACCAGCACACGTCGATGACAGTGCCCTATCTGATAACCTGAGATTCAATGCTAGACCTATCAAACCTACTAGCGGGATCCTCAAACCATCTTCAGGTCCCACGCTAGATACACCTGAGACCTTATTCTCACGTCCCAGTCAACAGCACGCGTCATCTGCACCGTCTACGGACGAGACAACAGTCTCACGTCCAGATCAGCAGACCACGCCGCCTTTGACTTCGGATGAGATTGCAGGCTCACGCGACGCGAACGAGACTACCGTCTCACGTTCCGGTCGCCGAGTACGGTTGCCCGTACGCTTTCGTGACTAGCCGCACAGTCAACAACTGAAACGGTGTAGGATTATTCCTATACTACACGCATGCTACACTCTTCTTTTTTTTGATTTCTTTTTGTTTCCTGAGCCCACGCCTTCGACCATCTCCGTTTGGGTCCGTCGACTTCAGTCAACTTTGGCGAAAGCTGGACTGGCCACCCACGCTCTTGTCAACGCACTCAGTCGATATATTGGTTTCGAATGTTTGGCATACGTTTGGTCGTTGCGGTCGCTTTTGGTCTTTTGGCTCAACGTGGTTTCGTCCTACGTCTGCAGCGTTTCTGGTCCGCATTCCCTACGAACGCCATCTTCAGATTCTGGATACAAACCACTTGTGTAGCATGTCAACTCAAGCAACAAGTACAGCACATCGATTCTGGTACCGTTCTCCGAAAATAACCTTCGTTGGCAACTCGACGATCAACAATCGCTTTCCTGTTCGCCAATCCGTCGTCCTACAAACGCTCATCAGCCGATCAGTCCCACGATTTAAACCGCTATTAATCGAAAGTGTAAACCCTTTCTAGCGGGGGGCTCCTGTAGTGACTCACGTTTATTACAAGAACACGACTGGTTCAATAAAAACAATTATTATTATAAACAGTTGTACCAGTGTTTGTTTTAATATGCTTTTGTTTAACTGTGCTAATTATAGCCATTTTGTGCTTCCATTACCTTCCATTATTGTTTCGCGCCTTTTGCTGCTGTTCGCACGTATTCTGTACTCCTGCTTCCGCTTGTACCGTTCTTGGCACGATCTCGGTATTCATTCGATACCACGAGATCGCCAAACGAATAAATCTGCTTACGCTCAACCTACGCCTTCTGATATTCTTGGCACGTGTATTTTGGTAGCGGTGTACATAGTCAATCTCGACTCGACGCCACGCTACACTGTAATGTCAGTCTGTGTCGCTGGAGGTTTTTCTATAAGTGAAAAAATCCCGGCGTTAAAAGATTTGATCTCTAACATGCTGTCTGCAGAATCGTTCAGCTGATCTATAGCGTTGTCTTGAACCGAGACAAGCACTGCTTGAGCCTGTTGAGGAAGTCTGGACAAGAAAAGTTGTCTAAACAGGCCATTGTCGAAAGTCCTTTGACCATTTAACTTCCTCATTTTTAACAACATGTGCGTTGCTGACCCACTTTGCAAGTCGATGTTATCGATCGCAGCATATCAGGATATACCTTTTTAGAGTTTCATAGAGTTTGAAACATCACTGGCAAACATACAAGGTGTGACGTTCCTGTTGAATTCTCACAGTAGTGCCTTAACTATGGCGGGGAATTATACACGTGTATTGGTCACGCCGTGCACGTAGAAGTCAGCCTCTGCGTAGCAGAACCAGGGTACGGTGTTGTCTGCTGCACGGCATTAACCGGAATGAGGGTTGTGTCATAATCATTTTCTCAAATACCTATCGCCACGAATATGAAGTGCATGAATGAAAGAGGAAAAAATATCCGACATAATAATATCACAACATATAAAAATTAAAATAAAGAAATGATATACGAAGTTACATAAAGAAACAAACACACAGTTTACGAGTTGATGTACCAGATAACATCGCAGTCACCGATGAAGATGCTACAGGTATTTGACAACACTTTAACCTGTAACACTTTCTATAATTGAACTGTACCCACCCAGTGAAATTGAAAGTCAGACGCGAGGAAGTTCGAAGACACATTTAATAGGTTATTAAAACATCAAGAAGGGACTGATCCAAACTGGTTATCAGTTGAAGGTGAAGTTGAGCACGGCTTTCCTTTTCGCGATCTAGTGCCAATAAGTGACGGAGCACCTTCAGATACATGAGTCCATTAAAACTAATGTGGTCATGTTACGTCCTTGATCTGTCTACCCACTTTTGAGGATCACTTTTCTAATCTAGATTAAGACATTGAAGCGATAGGCTGACCGGCTTAACCTTGAGGCTAGCACGCGTCAGTTCAAATTGGGGTAGAGAGACGAAAACCATCCTGTCACTTGGTTGGCTTACAGTCGCGCGAGTGAGAGAAGACAAGCCGACTGGGACACTACTCGATTTATTCTGAATTCCCATCTGGTTCCCGACTTCAGATTAACGTAAAAAGTACAAGAATAATTAGGAATATTCAATTATGTCCAAAACTAGGGATTAGTGTAGAAAATAGAGTTAAAAATATTGTTTAAATTACAATAGTTTCAGAACAAAAAGGGCTATGACAGTAAACAGTAAATCAAATGAAAGCTCATGTTCTTTAGAATAGACTAGGAACAAAAATAAATAGTAATGTTTTACATGCTTCCAAGTGACTGAAATAACGTCCTGAAAAATAGTTTCTGTAGTTTTTCAGAGATTCTTGTTTCTCTGCTCACATCAGATGTTGAAGACATACATAGCTACTGGTTTTAAGGATTTACTTACCGATACAAGGTTGTCAACATCATACGGAATTCTTGCGATGGACTACACTGCAAAGTTTTGGATGGTTGGTTGCTAACAGACATATACTAAGTAAAGACCGGTGTCAGACAAGGTTGCTTACCCTCGCGTTTCCTCTTTCTCCTGGTAGTCGATTGGATTATGAAGACCTACACATCTGAGGGAAAGCACGCAATTCAATGGACAGTTCAAAATCAATTAGACGATTCGGTCTTCGCAGATGACCTAACCCTCCTATTCCATACAGACGAACTAGTGTAGCAGCAGCCTCTGCATCAGTAGGCCTCATTATTCACAAGGGAAGAAGTAAGGTCCTCAAATACAACATGGAGAACACCAACCCAATCACATTTGATGGAGAAACTCTGGAAGATGTGGAATCTTTCACGTACCTGGGAAGCATCATTGATGAACAAGGAGGATCCGATGCAGACGTGAAGGCAAGGATTGGCAAAGCAAGAACAGCATTTCTACAGTTGCAGAACATATGGAATTCAAAACAACTGTCAACCAATATCAAAATCAGAATCCTCAATACGAACGTCATGACAGTTGTACTGTATGGAGCTGGAACTTGTAGAACTACCACAAGCATCATCAAAAATGTACAAGTATTTATAAACAATTGTTTACGCAAGACACTCAATGTGCGTTAGTTGGATACCAACCTGAATTTTACTGGATGGACAAAAGGAATTATTGGAGGTTTCCTCAAAGCACAGCTCAATGATGAAAAGGTTAAAAGTGCATTTCGGTGCTAACTAACTATTCATGAAGTTAATGTTCATCCAGAAGAGACCTGGGATGATATGCATACAGCTGGGGATACAGTAGTAACATCTTTCAGTAAATTAAAACAGGTGGTTAGAAATGACATGCAGATTTTAGTAGTATTTGCCGAATTTGAAAGTGCTTGCAAATTCATTCCATCTAGTTCTAAACACGACGGAAGAGAAGACAACTTAATCGTAGACTGACAAAAGGCCTAAGAAATGATTGTAATCACCGAAATTGAAAGAGATGGGAAAGTTATCAGTGGTAAAAACACTAGACATCTATTCAAACTTATTGAAGAATCAGGTACAGAAAAGTCTTCTGTTAGTGAGACTATCTCCGAAAAGATGGAACTATGATTCACTCAGCTAAAGTGAATGATAGGTGAGAAAAATGGATAGAATATAGCTATGGTATTTGCATGTACTAATGATTCCCTTCAAATACAATACTTTTGTTTGTGCTAATCTGTTTTCACTAGCTTTAAATTTCATTATTGCGGGAATTCTTAGTTAGCACAATAATCTGAATACTTCCAATTTTCATAATTTTCCAGGACAGAGTGCCATGGAGAAAGCTAGTAGGCGGCCTATGCTCCTCCATAAGGGGTAACGGGAGTAAGTAATTGAGTCAATGTTTCAAGAACTTTATAATCGACTTGTTTTGATCAGTGCACAGCAAGAAGCACCCAGTGGTTATCTGGTGCAGATGCTTAACCGAGCGCACTGATTTAAGTGTATCGTTGTCAAATTCTTACAGAACAATTCATTTAAGGGATTTGTTTCCCTTTACAGGTTCGCATTCTTTGAAACGGTTCTATTAGCTGTGGCAAGGAAACAAACACGAGCAGTTTGCATATTGTGTAACCATTGCCAGCTCTTTATATAAGGTTCGGTTCATTTGTATCTCTCCTTCCCCAGCTAACGCTAAGATTAGGCAACATAGGAAACACGTTACAAGGGATACTCAATCTTATCAAGTACATTGTAATTAGTTTTTGTTATTAATAGCGTTTTTTACAGAAGGCTTTGTACTGTCCGGTACTATGTCAAGACTATATAGGTTGTCCCTGTATCTGGACAGACTAATTTATTCATTGTTCTCAAGCCATATTTGACCTTATTGAATATTCGTTTATTAACCCTTACTGTTTTTATATGATCGTATGTGTTATTTATTTGACCACATCAACAATGGTACAAAGAGTCAACAAATACACATGCTCCACACAAAAACCATGAGGCCAGTAGTAATCATCACTGATTAGTGTGACGGCTGTGATACCATCGGGGTGCCCGAACCTCGAGCTTTTGACCTGAAGGTCTAATCCACAAGGCAGTGGAACAACATTAGGAGATGTAGTCCCAAGGTAGCCGGTGACCAACAATAGGTTTGTACGCCATTTATTCACTCAGGATCCTGGAACCCATATGCACCATTGGTCAATGGCTTACTCTATTCATTACGAGCCTGTAACTTATTTTCGGTCTGACTATAAATATTAAGTTATATTTGGTCAAATCGAATTGGCTCATACGCCTTCTCCACTAATCGTCATTTCGCTTCGCTCTTTTCTTCGTTTCTCTGGATCAACGATTGTATGAAATACACGTATTCGAAACCTATTATTGTATTTGACTTATTTAATTGTTATTCACTAACGGAAGTTAAGTCGATAATTACATACGAGGATTGACGACATGAGTGTCTCGATAGCAATTATTCATACAATCTAAATGGAGTCAGATATATGGCCACCAAAAAGCATTCTATCATGATATTGAAATTATAATAGTCGAACGTTTCTCCGCAGCCGGGTAACAGAGAAATGTGGTAAAAAGAAGCAAAGCAAGCCTCGTACGGATTAAATATACGAGATGATATACAAAACCAGTTTGTAAAGACGTCTGTACCCACGTAATTATCTTTTTGATGATACCTCATTTCAAAACACCCTGTAAGCAAACAACGCTCAGAAAGCATTGAGTGATTCATCCCATAGGAGTCCTCATGTGCTTTCGACCACTTAACACCTGTATATAGAAGTGGATTGACCAAAATCACACTGTCATAACAACTGCATCTCATTATTACTCCATCAGTGATTGTGCAACACTCATAACTTTTCCAATTGCGCAATTTGTTACATTAAACCCTCGGTTGTTATTGGTCACACAATTACTTTCCCCATTATTATTTCCTCAAGTCTCACTTCACTAATGTACTGTCAAAATTTTCATCTGCCAAAACATACTGATTTACACTTTGTTTATTAGCCTACTGATGTGATGCGCATTCCGAGTGTTGCTTTTAATCTAAACATATTTATGCGATTATCAACTTTAACAGCAGTTGTATTTTTATTCTCTTTCAAACGGATGACAAGTCATGAATGGAAATCAGTTCAGTTCATTTTACAATTCATGTTGGCTTTGGGTTACATTTCCACTCAAATACTAACCATTAGAATATATTTCAAAGTTCTTATCGAACTTTCGATCCATTTTTATTTTATTTCTTAAGAATTGATCATCTTTATTAATCTTCATACAATCAACTGTTAGAAAAATGTATTAAGCAAATCCATTCTAATGTACAGATTAAGCAATGTCATTTAGCCCACGTTTCTCATGAAGTCTGAACAGCTGGACAGATCCCTCATTTTGAAAGTTCAGGAACTTTTATTTTGGTTTACTAGCTTTCCTTAAGTTTAACAACAAATAATTCCTACACTTAGGCGATTCTTAAGATTCACTAAGATATTTAGTGGAGCATAATTTTAAGTAGTCTAAAGACAACTAATGAAGAACAGAATTAGCTATTGATAGCACACATCAAAATAATAAGCAAGACAAAACACACTAGGTTTGAAATAGCGTGTGCCCACCTTAAATTTAGCCCGTCGGATACTTTACAACCTGAATGTACTTCTGATCATCCATTTATATTCTTTATGCAAGAGTTAAGTTTATGATAAAAAAAATAGTAACTTCTTGAAACTACTACGGAGCTTTTAGAAATATATGTGGTAACAAGTCTTTATTAGAACAAGACTTTATCTTGTACATTTTTCTTTTATACCCATTTGGTTATAATATAGTGTGCATACCATCAGTTGAGGTCACAGTACTTAACCTATGTTAAAAGCATGACGTATTGTATTTTTACTGTTGTTTATCGGAATGATATTTACCGTTCAACTGAAAAATTATATATGACAGAAAATGAACGATCTTCTCAATCATATGTGGACAACAAATTACAATTTATCACAGTGTACAAGAAATAATCTGCAGCCATAACAGTAATAGATACAATTTTTAATCATGCACATATAAAATCTCGACCTAATGTTTTTACACAAAAATCTAAATCGTGTTAAGATTTGAATCAAGTTGTAGTTTAAATTGATGATTCCTTTGAATTTTCCTCCATCTCCAACTACCATGAATCTTTCAGTGACAAAACTCTACCAGTAACCGTTAAATTACAAGTTAAGTATTTTGAAAAATATTACAATTAACTTAAGTGATCACACAAAGTTCTAGTTAAAACATGTGCGCTTTCACTAAAAATTTTATGTGTAAACTAAAGTACATTATAGAGAACAAATCACATAGATTAAGAGACATTGTTCGAAAAAACAAAACTGGAATAATTAGCATACTATTGTGTTAAAATATAACCAGTTTTAGAGCCAATTATTAAAGGACAGTGAAAAGGAATAGAAAAGTGTAAGAAAGGCAAACAAGAATACATATACAAAAAAATCACAACTGACCATTACTAACAATATGGGCCAATGATTTTGTTCGTTGACCTTCTGACTGGATAAGTGTTTTCCCAACTTCTTCAATTAAACCATCAGTTTCTATTACATCAGTGCTTGAACCAACATTTCGTATCATAAGTGGACTTGGATCTGTGTTGATAACATCGAGAGGACTCTTGACACCGTTACTATTAGCGCTGACTGGATAACTTTTAGCTGTTAAATTTGCGTACTGTTCGGCTTGCTCCATTGTAATAGTCAATTTCGCTAATGTAGCTTTGTATCTAAGTACTTCATCAAACATACGACAACGTTTACGTAAAACGCTGAGTTCCGAGTCCCGGTTGAGTAAATCACGTTCTAAACGTTGGAGTTTTACATTTTGTTTAAATATTAATTCATTAAGATTGTTTACTTCTGTTTCACGTTTTACATGTACTTCCTAAAGTTGAAGACGATATGGTTAGAAATTCAAGTAATAACCATCAGATAAAGTATGCTTAATGTTACGGAAGGTTGCTGTTTAGGCACATATATAAGTGATAATTCAAGTTTAAAATACTGCTAAGTTTTAAATCAATATATTATTGCTAAAATGATTGCCAAGATTTTAGAAGTTCGGATTTCAATCAAGAGCAAAGATTCTCTTTTAAAGTGTTAAGTCACGTAACTTTGAAATATTTTTCCAGATAAAATTGTTTCATAACCTTAGCACAACTGTCATGGAAGATGCAAAACTGAACTAAAATGAATCCCAACACGAATGACAGAGGGGAATACCCTCCTCCAGATATAACAAGTTTAGATATTACGTGTATAGTGGCTAAAGGTGATTAACCAATTAATACAAGTCTAAATAAATGCCATATTTCCCCACGAATCACTAACCCTTTGAAGTGGATTGTTGAAAAATAAGGGTTTATCACGCCATATAAAAACACTAATATCCAGCAAAACGATGACTAAATATGAACGAAATCAAAGTAAGCCTTATTGTACACAACCTATTGTGTTGCAAAGCATATATTCCTATCGTAAATTATATTTATTAAATGACTATATCATTGTTTTAGGGTGTGAATTACAAGTCCACTGACTAAATCTTTAAATCACTAGTAATGTACGTTGCTTAGTGGTAGTCATTTAAGGCGTATAGTTTGATTCAAAAATTCGAACTCCTACTATATAGCCCTTCAGTCACAAGTATCATCACTAGTCCAGCTGTATTAAATAGGACTCCATAAATAAATCGGTCAGTGAGAAGTAATCAATTTCGGCTGGTCATTATTACTGATGCAGACACTATACTACCTGAAGAACTGTATTCGTTATTAGACTTCTGGTCGCTTTCATTTACAATGTTGGGTTAGTGGTTAGAACATTTGGAGTTTAACCAGTAAATCTAAAATATGAATTTTACCCCACTTAATTCAGTATGGATAGATTGGTAATAATGAGACTTCACAAGTCGATCCCAATTTGTACTCGACAAATGAGTCGTAGTATTCAATCATTGTATTATTATCCACTACTGAATAACCGACTGATTTGACAAGACTCTATTGATTTGTGATGACCAAAAATGAACATGAAATATTCACCTAGATATTTTATATTGAACCATAATACCTGCATAACTATGTTGAAGTCTTCTTCCTTTTTGTTTAACTCTTCCTCCTTAGTTTTGAGTTGTATTTCCAGTTCCTTAATCCTAGTTGTTAAAGCGTTGAGATGACGATTAGCTTCCTCAATGTGTGTTTTAGGCTGTGTACCATTGAACCACATCTAAAATAGAAGTATCTTTTAAAAATGGCAGAAAATTATGGCATATTGTAAGCAATATACGCAAGCCTATTTTATGAAGCAGACAACAGTCAACTAGATGAATACATGGGATGTATATACAAATTTTAATGAATAGATGGAAGAGTTTGAAAAATTCAGCCGTCATAAAATAAATGAACGGGTTTTTAAATTGAAGTTCAGACCGCTAAGAGGAAAATCATTTGATGGAACGATCAGTTTATTATTATTTCCATTAGCATTAACTCACAAAAGCTATGAATTTCATTGAAATCACGAACCGATCTAAGTTAGGTCATCGTTGAAAACCTGGAAGCACTGGACGTTTTTGTTCTGGTCTGGGACTTCTCAGAAGTGTTCACCCACGGACCCACATGTGGGAATCGAATCCAGGGTCTTAGGTTTTGCGTGCAGACACATTCAACTGCTAGACTGCTGAGTCGACATCCAAAGGTGTTAATGTCCTGCTGGCAACTATGACTGACTTCGAAGCCAATACACACTGAATTCATATGTCAAGGAAACATAGCACAAGAATGTCAAGCTCCCGTTTCTATGTTGAATAACAGATTTAATCTTTTATTGGCAAAACCTTAAGAAGGTGATAGTTGAATAACACAATAAACGACATATTAGGCCTGAACATTTTTACATGGGAGTAGTAATTCAGAAATTTTAGCTTGCAGTCTTCGATAGTATGACAATATGTAATTGATTATTTGGCAGCGTTTGATTTGTCCCTAGTGGAGGTCATTCTAGACGGCTGATGACATTAATGTGTTGTTTCAGACCACCTGAATTCATTACATAGGCTAAAACTAACAAAGGGCTAAACACACCTATTTTCAACGGTTACACCTCATAGGACATTAAACGCACTAAGACGGTGAAATAGATTTAAGAATTAGATTAGATAATGATCTAGAGATCAAGAAGAGCGCGGGAGGTGGCATTAGATGTAAATCCAGCTAGTAAAAAAAGGGTAAGGTACATAAATTGTATGAAGGAATGGGAGGGGGAAAAGTTGTGACTCTTTGGTTCTGTAGACTCGAGTGCTTTTAAATTCGGCTCAAAACAGTTAGTGAACTAGTTTAATGATGAAAATCTTAGCTGGGTTAGTTAACTAAGAGAAACCCAACGAACCTGCATTACATCTCAAAGCTGATAAATCTGAGAAGCTATATGTGAAACCGAGCATTAGATGTATCAAGTAGTTATAACTGATACATGAAGCTTCATTAGCTTACTCTATATGAGTTATATTGTTCAGGACAGGGGCAATTAGAGAAAGCTAAGCAGTGACTAAGCAAAAAGACGGAGTTAGTATACGTTAGAAAAACGGCGTAAAACATCAGCATAAAATTTCATAATCAAGAGATGAAAATGCTCGATATGATTTGGAATAATTCTTGAACTGGAATCATTACAAATGCATATAAACAAAAACAACTCAGCAGGAAAAATTATCAGCAAAATGGATTTTTAGTGGATACTTATTTTGTGACTTAAAACTGGGGTTTTCGGAACGTTGCGGCCACGCCCCCCTCATCAGACCGTTTTAAGTGCACTTTACACAGTAACTAATATGTTTATAAACGTTCCTCCGACAAATCCAATAAATTATAGTCATCGGATCCGTTTGTTTTACACATATATTTTGTCCATCTTCAAGCCTTGTTTTATCTACTCAATGATTCAACTTTAGCCTAATCCTTTTTACTTCTCTTAATTCGCTCGATCAACACGCTAAAATTGTAAATGGGATCAACCTGAAGTCTAGAGATATGAAAGCTGTTGGTTTAAACATTGCAAGATAGAGGGAAATTAAATACCCACCACGCTTACGAGACCAGCAAGGCAGCTTTCTGTTGTAAAAACGGCAGAAAACACGAATTAGATGAACGTAACATATGAACGTAATGCACAAATATTTGAAAGTAAAGCAAACGTTCTTGTGATTTGAAGCCATAGAAGTATCATGTTAAATACTCATGAAAGTAGGAACGATAAACTTTCCTAATTTAATGTAAAACTGAAACTTGAATGTATATATCTACATATTATGGAACAAACAAAATAGACAATACTTTTTAACATAAGACTTAGAAAGTAGCGCAATAACCAGAATCACCGCGTCCATAAATGGTTCAAATGTTCATGCGTAGAGTAGAAAGAGCTTTAACTTAACGAACTTAAATGTCTTGTTGCAGTGAATTGAATATAGCCCACCTAACAAGTAAAGCTGGTATCTGTTGCCTGAAGAAAAACTCTTCCACGTTGAGTATGCGGATGATGTAGTCTTACTGTGCGAGGATATCTATGCTATGCGATTCGCACTTGGTTGGAAGTGTCCGTAGATATGGTACGTGCTCTGCACCTAAGTGCAAAACACATCTACGGGACTGACGAGCCTGTACCTGCACTCACTCTTGGAAGTGGGCGGTTAGACGTAGTCGACAAGTCCGTGAATTCGGGTAGCTGTTTAAGTTCAGGTGATGATACTAATTTACGTATAGTGAAATACAGAGTGGCTTATCTCAAACTGGGGCATCTCTGGTGCCTTTGTGATGTTGGTCTTGCTGTAAAAGGTCGAGTTTACAACGCGTTCTGCTGTATGGTCGTGAAACCTGGCTTCCGAGTTGAGGATCTTAAGTGATTATCGTTGTCTCTAAAGATTTCTGACATTCAGTGGCAACACCATGCTAGGAGCACAGGTTCGGGGATGTGTGTTCGATTATAGTGACAGCAATCCGATTGGTGTCACTATCTTGAAACAGCGACTTTGGTGGCTTGGATATGCACTACGAATGTCGTTCCATGTCGTGCATCATTTGCCAACGCTGAGACTTGTTGGAAAGAGCGGAGGTGTGGTCGGTGTATGACATGATGCTGCAGTATGAAGTAATACTCTACAGGACAATCGTACTTTTCCAAACCGATAGCGTTAACGAAGCTGCGTAACAATTGTTTCGTCGTAATTTGGGACTTCTGACCATGTACACTATTAACTGAAGCTAGGAGTCATCGGCCATCAGAATTCATCTACTCTCAAACCTGAAATTGGATGTTTAAAAGTCTGAAATCAAGATTAAACGTACACTTATAATTTTTAATAAAACATATCTTCAAAATACTTGACTTTGCAAAACAACCATCTTTTAGTAACAATAAATCTTCTGTGAATGAAACTTTGAGGTACACTAACGTTAGTACCTTTAGAACCAAATGTTTTTGCTCTAAATCAAATACGATTAATCCCGTTTTCTTAACCTCTGTGTACTGTAAATGACCAACATTTAGTTAATTAAAGTTTCAGTTCGTGGTTTAACTTCACTCCAAGACTTCGTACACACGGTATACTTCAATTCATTCCACTAAAGACTCAGCAATAGGATTATTCATAATTAAACAAATATATTTTGCACTAAGAGGAGCATCAGGTTATTTGGATTGAATATAGCAAACCTAACAAGTACAGCTGGTTCATTTTTCCTATCAGATTTCTCGTGAATATGTTTATGTGAATCAGTAGTCGCAGCCTTTAGCTGATCCTGCTTTCATATTGTCACCAAGATATTGGAATAAAGGTTTCCTCTATTTCGAAACTTAATCTAGTCAAGTACTAGTTGTAAGGTAGCCATATGTATCTTTTTTTATTTTCAGAATCTGTTAGGAACCTTAATGCGTGTTTGTTTCACTTTTTAAGGACTATGGCATCTAGTGAGGAATATCCTTCGCCATCAGGAAATCTACCACTTCAGTTATTGGCTAAACGGATTTCCAAAGCTCGTAAATCTTGTTCCGGAGATCACCAAAATTCCAGTCCGGTTAGCAAAAATCATATTGACGATCCGAACAGCATTATCATCACTCCTTCCATTGATAGTCGAGAACTTGATCGTCTAAAATTCACTAACCCAGGTAGACAGATGGAAGAACTAGAAGTCGGTTGGTCCGAAGCAAATATGACACGAAGTGTTCGCAGACAAATGACCTTTAAATCTGGTCACAAATCATCAGAGTAAATTAATGTATTATGATAGTCAATTTCCATTGTAATTCTGAGCCACTAACAGTTTTATTTTTTTAGCTTCAGGATGTGTTGTTGTATACATTTGATTGGCATAAGCGTTTTAAATTTTTTTAAACATTCTACACCTGTGTTTGTATGATTAACCCATAACAAGAATGAGGGAAATTATATTATTCATTTGAAGACCATTTAAGTCATCCAATATTCTTCAATACTTTATTATTGGACAATCGTCTTCTGATTATTGTACAACACTTTAAAATACAATAGTTTTGGTTTTCTTCGTTCATCATGAATCAATTGATTGTTTTCGGATTATACTCTTTAAAAATATCGCTTTATAAACCCAAGTGTTTTGCTTTTTGCATTTCTAGAAATCTAGTTGTATGCACTATGAATCGGCTACTGTTTAATCAAATGAATGTCAATACAGTGAATAAGTAGATAATCTGCCGAAGCTTCACTTATAGTCGTTGTAATTAGACGGGTCTGAGATCCGTTGTTTGTTGAACTATTTCGTCCTCATATTTCATCATTTGGTTGCTAACTAGTTCTTTTCTTATTGACCGATGAGATTGCAAATGTCCGAGAAAACTGTATTGGTCATTCTGGCATTTGTTCGCGCTCAATATTAAGTGTTGTTAGTGGTTTTATCTCAGTAAATTATTGTTGGGTTCACTCGGATAGTGCATACAAGAGCGATTTGAGTCAGACTGTCTTAGCTCCAGATTTTTCAAAATATTACTTACGTGTATTTTACTAAGTTTAAATTCAAGGAAGTGTTCAGCATAAACCAACATTTCACTGGTCGAAGTTTTCTCCGACATGTTATCCAAATGTCATACCTCCACAACTAATGCGAAAAGGATTTCGACCACTCTTCGTGTCACTGTATTCACACTGACTTCCACCGTATCCTCCAGAAGTCGTGTTTTCTTGTTCACCTTGT